ACATGGCAAAGACATGGAATATGATATGCAAACATGCAAAAATCAGTAGCAAAATGAGGGGCAAAACAGCCCCGAAACAAGGCGAAATGACACCCGATGCATGGGATTTCTCCCGAAATACAAAACTAGGTACATGAAATGGCTTACAGCTATACAAAGCATGCATAATTGGTACATGAAGTATGAGGACAGAAGCTAGGAAGCCCCAAGACAAGCATGTTTACAGTTTAAAGCATGGCCAAACAGCAAACACAAATATGGCAAAACTAACATGCAAAAATGGTCCTAAATATGAGATAAAGAAGCAACTCACAGCTGCTGACCCCAAACAGATTAGGGACCTTCAACAAAGTTTAAGAGGGGTCCAAAACATGATCTTTTACAGTTTATGGCAAACCACAAAAACCAGCACATGCATGGCTAAACTCTCATGCAAGAAATGGGCCAAAAGATGGCCAAAGAAGCAAGTGGTGGTTGCTGGCCTTAAACGCAAAGGGGCCCTTCAACAATGTTGAAGAGGGGCCAAAAATAATGCATTTTACAGTTGATGGCCGGACCCAAAACAGTATGAAAATATGTTCAAAATGCTATGCAAAATGAGGCCCAAAAGAGAGGTATAACACAAAGTATATAAAAGATGCCTCAAACCATGAAAGACCCTTAATGAAACATGAAGAATGGGTCAAAATAAGACTGTTTTCAGTTCTGAAAAGAGACCAAAAATAGAAGAACAATAGGCTAACAAATCATGCAAAAATGGAGCCAAAATGGAGATATAAAGGCAAGTAGAAGATAGAAGCCTCAAACAGAAAAAGACTCTTCTACAACACTGAAGAGGGACAAAAAATATGACTACTTGCAGTTTATGGAAACCCCCAAAACAATATAAAAGTATGCTCAAAATGCCATGCAAGTTAGGGCCCAAAAGAGGTCAAAACACAAAGTATACAAAACATTCGTCAAACAGCCAAAGACCCTTAATGAAATATGACAAGGGGGTCAAAATATGGCCACTTTCAGTTCGGACCAAGGTCCAAAAACAGAATAAAAATAGGCTAAAAAAAACATGCAAAATGAGGCAAAAACATGGATTTCAAAGCAAGTAGCATATGGGGTATCTAAACAGTGATGAGCCCTTCTTCAATATTGAATAAAGGCTCAAAATAAGCTTACTTACAGTTTATGACATGCCCCAAAACAGATTACACATAGGCCAAAAATAACATTCAAGATTAGGGCCTAAAGGAGAGACAACGAAGGAAGTGCAAGATGGGGACCTCTAATGACAAAATTCCATCAATGAATCATGAAATAGAGCTCAAATAAAGGGTACTTTCAGTTTTGGTCGGAGCTCAAAACAGCAAGCAAAATAGCTAGAAAAATGTTGCAAAATTAAGCGAAAAAAGAGGGAATTGACATTTACCCTTGAAGACCAACCCTTGGTTGCTTCTTGGCTTGAGAAGTGATGCCTCCTAGCTGCTGGAAAGCTCCCCAAGTTGCTGGAAATGGAGTAGTGGTGGTGATGCTAGGTAGTGATAAAGGAATGGTGCAAGGAACTTGGATGCTTGAGCTTGAAAGAGAGAGATGGAGGGAGATGTGTATACAAGGCTTAAGGCAAATTTTTTTCAACCCTCAAGACAGAGCTGGAGGCTCTGTTATATAGACAAAAATGGGGAAGAAATGGAGGGAAAAAATGAGGGGAAAATGGATCAAGTTTCCCCCCAAAAGTTGTCCCCCCGGATACAGGTTTTTTGGGGAAAAAACAGATATACAGCTGGAATATACACATTGCAAGGATCATGGCCGGCCAACTTTCAGAGTTGCAGGTGGCTGGCCGGCCACCCCCCATGGCCAGCCGGCCAAGGGTCAAAATGGTCAAAAAGATTTTCTGGCCGGCCACCACAAATTAGTGTCCTCCCAGGTGCCCTCAACACAACCCTATGGTTCAAAATTGTCAACTGTAAAACAGGAGAGAGAATATGCCATTTTTAGGAAGGGTTCAAAAGGGTCAGGTGGAATTACTGGCCGGCCACCAACTTTTGGTGTCCTCCTATGTGTGTACAACACAAATATGGGGGTTAGGATTGAAGAAAGTGACCCTAGGGTGGTCAACATTGGCTTGGAAGTGAGAAAAACGGGCGTCGGAGGGCGCCAGAGGGATAAAGTTGTCTGACAGAACAATTACTGGCCTCTCACCCTTCTACGGCCTTCCTACCAATGAAACAGAGGTCCCTGCCAAAAACGAAACAAAACCAATGCAGAATGAAGGTTTGGGGGTCGAAACACGCAATTCGGGGCCTCGAAAATGGGCTGTTAAGCACCGGGAGTGGTGTTCGACCACGAAGTCGGTCTCTCGGACCACAGTGTCCCTCAAAAGGGAGCAAATAAGAAGTATGCCAAAAATCGAAGCAAATGGAGATGGTTAAGCGGTCCCGAACCGAGGCACACGGCCAACGGTTCCGAAAAATCAAAAATCGGACTCCAAACGGGCAAAATGGCCTACGACCACAAAACGTAACCTACGGCCACTAAGAGATGATCTACGAGACCTCTCCCTCCCTCCTCGAAGAGAAAACAGAGAAAACCGAGCCTAGTTCGCAAACCGAGGCAAAGCACAAAAGAGTCCGGAAGCTCGGAGGCAAGGCTCGTAGCCGAGACTCTGAAACTTCTGAACGAGCACAATATGCAATATCACCAAGCACTCAACTGGTGACGTCTGAGTCTCGAGGTCGATCAAAAATGGGGTGTCTACAGCAATAAATTAAGATATTATGTAACATTCACTCTCATATCTTCTATAATCATCAACAAACTATGTGGGTGTTTGGGAATTGGGTTTTTATGTAGGTTTTTTTAGTAGTAAGATATTATTGGATAAAATATTTTTGGTATTTAGAAAAATAATTGAATTTTTTTGTGGTTGGATGTGATGGTTGTGAGAGAAAAAGTAAAATAATTATGAAGTTAGATATGATATTTTGTTTGGATTTATTTTTTTTGATTTTGCAAAACGTTTGTCTTTTAATATAAAAAATCAAAAAAAACCCCAACACACAAACTTCCCAAACTTTCCAAAAAAACCCAACACACAAACTTCACTTACACATCATTCGATTTATAAATTGGATTTTAAAAGTAAGCTTATTTATCCTTCTCTAACATATTTTTGTGTTTGAGTTGTTGATTTTTAGCATTTATTGACATAGAAATCATAGTTTAGAAAAATAAAATACTATGAAAAATAAATTTGAAAATTTCAATAGTATGAAAATTAAATTAAAGTAAGGAAATTAAATTGGAAAATTCCAACAAGTATATAAGGTATTGGAAAACCCTAATAGCATGGGATAAGATTTTAAGAACACTGATATTATGAATGATTTTTTGGCCGTGTGGGTTGTTTTCAGAAATTTGTTTCAGTTTTTATTTTTTTTTTTGGAAAATCTAAAATTTAGTTCCGTAAAAATACTTATAATTTGTATATAATTTTATCTTTTTGGAAGGAAAAAGTAATTTTTAAAATTTTAAAATGTATTTTTGATATGTTTTTATCAAATTAATTTATATATTTCAAAAAAAATTCAGACAATAGTTTTAGGGGAAATTTGGCTATAAACCCCCTTTACCTTCCTTTCATTGTTAGAAGGACTAAGAAAAAATTATATTTTCTAAACCCCCTCATAATTATAAAATCTTGCATAAAGGACAAAATTTATTATTTAAATATTTTATCAGACTATTATACCCTCACATATACACAATCCAGATACAAAATTTATCTTCTCTCTCGTCTCTCACTTCTAACCCTAGCTTCCTCCATATGGCCGGAGTTGTGTCATTCCTAAGCTCTGACGATCTCTCTCTGCATCTTTTCAACTCTCCTCCTTCAACTCTCCTTCAACTGTTCATCTTCTATCTCGTCTCTCTCTTCTAATCCTAGCTTCCTCCATGGCCAGAGCTGTGGAGAACTTGCAAATCGCGCTGATACATATATATATGTGTGTGTGTGTGTGTGTGTGCGCGCGCGCGCGCGTGTGTGTGTTTTGAGATTTGAATTCGAATATATATGTGTTTTGAGATTTGAATTCGAATATATATATATATATCTATATATTCCGATCTGTAATATATATATATATATCTATATATATGTGTGTGTTTGTGTGTTTTGAGATTTGAATTCGAATATATAGATTTTTGAAAGCTCAAAGTTTTAAAAATCTGAAAAATCTGAAGAACCGGGGTATGAAAAATTGAGATTTCTTTAAAATTTTCAGATTATAGGCCTGATTCAAGGATTATAGGCATGATTCAATGTTTTTCAAAGTAAACATCGATTCATTCAAGGATTATAGGCCTGATTCAAAGCTCAAAGCTCAAAGTTCAAAGTTCCATCGATTTTTCAGAGTAAACATCAAATTTTACTCTGGTTTTATTGCTCTGTTTTTTTCATTTGACAGAACCAGAGTAAAATTTTACTTTTATACAGAGTAAAATTTTACTTTTAGCTTCAGAGTCTTACAGTTTACTTATTTTTCAGAGTAAAATTTTACTTTTATACAGAGTAAAATTTACTTTTAGTTTCAGAGTGTAAAATTTTACTTTCATACAAAGTAAAATTTTACTTTCATACAGAGTAAAATTTTACTCTGAAATACATAGTGAAAATGTCTTAATAGGAGAGCTGATAGATATGAGGGTAATATAGTAAAAGAAATAAATTTTAAAATATCAAGGGGTTTTGAAAGTACTTATATAATTCTTATCATTTTGAAAGAGAAATTAGATAGTGAGGGGCTATGACCAAATCCCCTTTTATAAAAATTCAAACCAATTTTATTTTATTTATCATTTGACGAGAATTTGTACAAAAAAAAAAAAAAAGAAAGGAAAGGAAAATCACAGTAGTAGCTGCTGTGTGCGCTTGTACGACGTGGCCCAAATGACGCTTAGCTGGGTGGTACCATCATGATATTCATTTTTTTTCTATTGAAAAGTCTAAGCAGCCTCGTAAAACCCTAGCAATAAAAGCTCATTCCATCATCTTCTTCTTCCTCAAGCAAAATCACAGCTCTCAGTCTCGGACTGAGACACCCCATCTCACAGTTCTTTAGAAATTTATCGGAGAGGCCCCTGAAATATATTACTAATTTCCATTTAAGCCCCTCCCATCATCAACCTCTCACTCTCTCAGTTCAGATGGCTGATGCATTTGATTCGTTGGTTTCTGTTTCTTCCTCTGTTTCTGCTTCTTCACCCAAGAAGCGTATTCGGATCTTCCGCGATGAAATTCCATTCATTCTCAACAATTCACGTAAGCCTTTTTTTGTGGGTTTTCATGTATAATTTGATTGGTTTCTGGGTTTTACATTTCAATGATTCTTTGATGATTTTTATTTATTTATCTGTATTTCAAGTTTACGGTAAAATTTGGGTTGTGTTTGGTTTTATAGATTTGTTATTAGTTAGAATTGAACTCTCTTGATTGAATCTTGTTTGTCGTTGTTTGGTTGATTTTTATTTGTTGACCCATACTTGCATTAAACTCAGTTCACTATGGTGAATTCGTTTTCTTGATTTTCTTGATTTTCATGCATTTGGTTTATGGAAGTTTTTAAACATGAAATTCAAATTTGGACGGGACAAAACTGATAAATCTCAAGACAAAATGGAAAACGAGATTTTAAAAGATCACACATTAAATACAAATGGCAATCTAATGCACCTTGAATTCCTTAGGTTTCTTGACTTTCTTCTCAACCAAGTGAGGGTGAGGCTCCCTTTGTCTGCTCGGTTAGCTCTATCATAAAGAACATATGATTCCTTTTATGGTTTGTATTTATTGTTTAATCAAGAAATTTTTTTCCTATACGAACAAAAAGCCCTGAATTTAAATCACAGTATCAACTGGTGTAAGGGTTGCGATATGTAATGAGTATTGTCAGCTAATGTGTAATGGGAACTGGAAACCGAACTCATGAATGTTTTTCAAGCACTAGAAAATGCCAATAAAATCATTGATAAGCTTGTTCTAACCTTATTTACCATAATTTGAATGATTGCAATGGGTTTAAAGGGTCTAGGCACATCGAGGTGCCCGCCTTGCCAAAGCGAGGTGCAAGTTATAGAACATAAACAAAATTTTAATATAGGCAGAGTTTTTAACATAAACAAATTTTTAGTGTACCAGCTAGGAACTGTGCAAGCCTTGTCTTTGATTACTGTATTGGAAAAAAAAAGAATCAGTGATCAGTTTAATTCAACACATCAGAGAGGACAAAGCAGAAGAAGAACAAAGAGGAGGCAGTGCGGTGATCTGGTTGGAGTAGAAAATAAGAAGTCAAAAAAAAAAAAAAAAAAAAAAAAAAAAAAAACAACAATGTGAGAGAGAGAGAGTTTCTTAGGGCTTTCTTTTTGTCATAAAAATTGGGGCTAATCTATTGGTGGAGTTGTAATCCCATGTGGTTGCACTACCAAACATAATAAAGCCCACTAAATAATCACCTTGCGCTTCACAAAAGGGGATCACCTTAGTGCCTTGCATGCGCCTTACACATTGCCCCTCCCCTTGAAGCTCTTGAGGTGCCTGACCTGCACCTTGCCTCCCCTCACGCCTTAGTGCTCACCTCGGCTTGCCTTTTAAGACACTAGGTTGGTGGGTCTATGAAGTTGTGAACTCAATGAAGAAAAACAGAAGAAGCAAAAGAGAGCAATAAATAGTCTGTATCAATGTGTCAGGGCCTAATGATGGGCAATCAATGCGTAAAAGGTGATTTATTGAGTATTGGCTGGTACCCCCCTGCTATGGAACCTGATACTTATTGGCTGATACTTGTTTGATATTTTTTCACGGTGATACAAAGCAGAAAATTTGAATATGGAGGCCCAAAATCCATTGCGTAATGACCAATATGTTGCGTAATGGCTGATTTTTTTTATCCATAAGTCCCAATGGGTAGCTTGAACTTGGACACAGATCTCTCATCAGTAAATATCACTATAGCGTACAAAAATGGTTGTGATATCTTTACTGTAGTATAGTTACTGTTACTAATGTGGGTCAACTTTAGGATACTCAATCCAACACTACCTATGACTGGATTTTGTGTTGAGCTTTGGTTATGTAAAACTTCTAGGGTTAGATTAGAATTCTCATAGGTAATAGGAGTGGCTAAGGCCCTGTTTGGTATTTTTGATATTTTTTGTTTTTTGTGTTTGGAAACAAAGACAATGAAAGTTCATAAGCATTCATTGTCTTCTTATATTTTCATTGTTGTGCAAAAACACATTTAAAAAATTCATAAAACAATTAAAAAATTGCATCCTAAAAAAGGGTGTTTTTAGAAAAATTTCTGAAAACATTTGTCAGAAATAGTTTCCCATACCGGTTTTTTGTTTTCAGTTTTGTTTTCTCTGTTTCAAAAAAAAAAAAAAAAAAAAACCAAAAACCGAACTTATCTTAAGGTTTATGGACCAAAAAAAAAAAGGTGTGAGATTTGGGGGTGTTTTCAAAAGGCCAAGTTGCTTTATTTTCAGATTTAATGTTGTCGGAAATTCTGGAAACTATTTATGGTAATACGTGTGCAATCAAAGGCAAATCTATATTTTATTATCTCAAAATTGTAAAAAAAAGTTAGGTTGCGTTTGGTTGTGTTTTGTAAATGTGATTTGAGAGTATGAGTTGTATTTTGAGTTTGTGTTGTAGGATTATGATTTGAGTGTAGAAAATTTGTTTGGTAAAGAGTTTTGAAAATAGTTTTGGAAAAGAGGTTTGATTTGAGTGGGGAATTGTTGATGTGATATTTGATATGTGATACAAAAATTTACAACTCTTAACTAAACATACAACTCAAAATTATTTTAAAGCACATTAAAAATTAAAAAAATTTCAGAAAATATTTTTCCCAATTATATAAATCAATTGCAAAAAAAAAAAAAAAAAAAAAATCTGTACAGCAGAGGACATCCCAGTGGATGTCCCCAAGGACGTCCGGGTGGTAATCCCTAGGGACGACCGGGCGGTCTTCCCCTGGCCAAAAAAAATACAAGAAACGCGCAGAATGGACAGAGCTTTCGGCAGAATTTTGGAAAATTAATTCCAAAACTCTTACCAAACATGGAGCTGAAACTAGCATGTAGAATCACATTTCAAAAGCACAACCAAACACAGCCTTATGTTTTCATATTCTATATATTGGTAAAGTACTTTGAATACAAGGTCGTAAGATCTATTTAAAAAGATTTATCACAAATAAATAGAGTTTTAGACTTAAGTGCTCTTAAAATTATAAAGCTAACGCAAGAGAGATTAATAGATATAAATTCACATTATTGTTTTTTTGATCACTGGCTCCCAAGTTATTTTCTTTAAACATACCATGTGTTTTGCAAGTGGTCAAGCATGGACATGTGTATCCCTAATTGTCGGAAACATGTCCAGTTCTATTTTTTATTTTTTATTTTTAAAATAATAGGATATGTTTGGACCATTGTGTGACACGTGTCGAGTAGTGTCTGACGAGTTTAGATGTCAATGTCTGTGAGTTAAATTTGATATGGAGGGAAACTAATATATGTGCTGATCTCCTAGCTGAGAATGCAGCAGCTCGGTGTGAAACTTTTATGCTTGTTCATGATGCTCCCAAGACTCTTCTAATGTTATTGGCTAGAGATAGGATAGGTGCTGGGTGTTTGAGATGGGTGCATTTGTAATCTTTGCTTTCTTTTGTTTTGGCTTCAGCCATCGTTTGGAGAAAAAAAACCCTTATAAAAAAGAGAATGTGATATAAATTTCCAAGTTCATGATTAACTTCTTAGAACTGCAGATTTCCCACTCATTACCATTTATGCCACACTTTCATCATTTGCATCATTGTTTATGATTATTTTCTTCACCATCTTTATTCATTTATCCCTTTTCTATTTTAGATATATTGAACAGTGTAAACATGTGCCCTGGTATTTCGCTGCTGTTTTTGTGTTTGTTATGTGTTTGATGCAGCTACTGGTACCTTTTTGGTGTGTCTTCACTACTCAAGTCGCAAAACTAGCAATTCGGTTTCTTTTTCTTTGTTTTTAATTTTTTTTTTAAAGTATTTCCATGGTGCCCTGAATAATGATTTTGGTATTCCATATTTCTTAGAACAAATGCAAATTGCATTGAACCTACTTAATGTACTTAGCTAATCTTTTTGCATGCTTTACTTTGAAATGTGATTCGCACATGCTTCTGTTCCGAGCTTATGGTTGCAGTCTCCATTTTTAACTCTGCAGAGATGTCTTCTGAGCTTGTGTCAGTATTGGTAGATATAATTTTCAAAACTTTGTGTATTTATGATGATCGAGGATCGAGGAAAGCTGTTGATGATGTGATCACAAAAGCTTTGGGCGAGGTTACATTTATGAAGAGTTTTGCGGCAACTGTTGTACAGGTCATGGAAAAGCAAGTAAAATTGCAGTCTCATGTAGGCTGCTACAGGCTTCTCAAGTGGTCATGTCTTCTACTAAGCAAGAGTCAGTTTGCTTCAGTATCAAAGAATGTATTGTGCAGAGTGGCTGCAGTGCAGGCATCACTTCTTCATATTGTTATTCTAGGATCTTTCCGTGAGAGAAGGGCTTGCAAACGAGCATTTTTTCGTTTGTTCTCAGAGGTTTACCCCTTTAGCATTTTTTCAGTTTTGATTAAATCATTTTTATGGGTTTCTAGTTCTAAATTTCTTATGCATTTTATATTTTTAATTTTTTCAGTCATCAGAAATCTACAAAACCTACATTGAAGAACTAAAGGATGCAAGGATCCCATACAAAGATAGCCCGGAACTGTTGGGGCTTTTACTGGAATTTTCAAGTTCGATTCCTTCTTTATTTGATCAATGGAAGGTAAGAAACGCTTTTCTTTTAGCTGTTGTATCAGCAACGATATTCTTGTGGGGCTATTGATGACCCTATCTAGTGCTGAAAACTGATAAATTTTGGAACTTCCTCTGTTGAGTGCAATTTGGTAATGCAAAATTAGTTACTAATTAAAGAATACAATCCATTAAAGAGGGGGTCTAATTTTTAAGATATAGAAACTTGACTTTGCACAAAATGATGAACATGCTAAATGGAATATGATTTAAATTCTGATTTCAAGTGCCAAATTAACCATTACATTTTGAAATTCTACAAATTTGGATGCTGACAGTGTTTAGTAATACTAAAATGGCACTAAAATTATCAATGTTGTCAAACATGATGTTGATGTTATGTTAGGTCCTGTGATTTCAGATTTTATGTTGCACTTACATTTAACATCCCTCTAGCTAGTGTTTTGATTGATTGCTTTTTGTTGCACAGCCAACATTTCTTGATATGTATGTTAAATCAGTTCTGAATGCAAGGGAAAAGCCAGCAATGGGTCTCAGTGAAGCTTTCCTTCCACTGTTTACTTATTTGTCGCATGAAGATTTTAAAACTATTGTGGTCCCATCATCTGTTAAAATGTTGAAACGCAACCCTGAGCTGGTGCTGGAATCAGTTGGGATTCTTTTGAAATCAGTCAATCTTGATCTGAGCAAGTATGCCACCGAAATTCTTCCAGTGGTACTACTACAGGCTCGCCATGTGGATGAAGGAAGAAGGCTTGAGGCCTTAGCTATAGTAGGGTGTTTGAGTCGGAAGTCTAGTAATCCAGATGCCTTAGAAGCAATGCTTAATGCTGTGAAATCGGTCATCGGAGGTTAGTGTTTGCTCATTTTGAAGATTTTTTTTCATACAATTGTCTGTCTGTGGATATCGGAGGTTAGTGTTTGCTCATTTTGAAGATTTTTTTTCATACAATTGTCTGTCTGTGGATTAAAGTATCTTTTATCTTGATTTATACATAGTTGATGCCATTAGACTTAAATTTGTAATTACATAAAACTGTGTTTCGCTTATCTTTTAATTCGGGCTTGAATATGGACAGGTTCAGAAGGAAGGCTTGCATTTCCATACCAGAGAGTTGGCATGATAAATGCATTGCAAGAATTGGCCAATGTCCCTGATGGGAAATATCTCAACAGCCTGTCACCAACTATATGTAGCTTTCTTTTGTCCTGTTACAAGGATGATGGTATTTTTTTACTTCTGTTTGATTTTCCCTGTTTGCTTTGCTCCCTGTCATATCCTAGTCTTCTCACTCATAATTTGCATGTCAGGGTCACTGGTCTTTTTGACGGTTTAATTTACAGGAAATGAAGATGTAAAGCTTGCAAGTTTATCGGCTATAGCTTCTTGGGGAGCAAGATGTCCAGATGCTATTCAGCCAGATGTCATTTCTTTCATTGGTTCTGGGCTCAAGGAGAAGGAAGGTTTGAGAAGGGGTCATCTTCGTTGTCTTAGAGTCATGTGCGAAAATGCTGATGCCGTTGTAAGGGTGAGGAAACTAATTAAGTTTATTTTTTGGATTCCTGTTTTTTTGAATTTTGTTTAGGGTGTTTTCCACTTAACTAGAATGTCTGTACTGTACCACCTTCAGATATCGTCTTTGCTTGTGCCGCTTGTCCAACTAGTAAAAACTGGTTTTACCAAAGCGGCACAGCGTTTGGATGGTATTTATGCATTACTATGCGTTTCAAAAATTGCAGCTGTTGACATCAAAGCAGGTATTCTTCAAATGATTAATTTCAATTTAGTACACAGAACCAACTTTTGCATTTTGTTTGTTACTGCTTATTCATATGCTACCTCCGTCCCAAATTGTTTTTCCGGCATGACAACTAAAAATGATGCATTCTCTTGTCTAAATTTTCTATTTTTTCCCTCACAAATTAATAGTTCTTAAAGAGATCTTTTAATTGGTGAAAAAATTATAAATTTCGATACAAGAATACATTATTTTTATGTTCTCGTTTTCTATGTCTAACAAACTATTGGGGATGGAGTAATTGTTAAGGTGATTTTATTAATACTCTCTCTACCTCTTGCCCCCCCCAAAAACAGATGATACTCTATCAAAGGAAAAGATTTGGTCTTTGATATGTCAGAGTGAACCTTCAGTTGTACCGATTGCCATGGTAGGTATTTGTTGACTCTTTCTGGTGCTCTGTTAATATATAAGTCTGTTTTATTTAAACTTGGGTACATATTGCTATACAGAGTTGCCTGACTTTCTGATGCTAAATTTATATGTATGTATGCATATGTTACTTTTTTCTACCTGAATGTTCTTTACTTTCTCATGTCACATTTACACACACTCAAACAAAACATATGCATACAATCAGCATCTTTTGGGAAAAGGGAAGGTTTTGTAAGTGATTTAAGCTAGATTTAATTGGCTTAACTTTTCTAGCTCCATCTGCTAAGTTTTTGCACATTCTTTTTATCATTATTTTCTTGTCATTTTAGTTGCTTCAATGTTTCTAAAACTCTAGAAGAAACAAAAATGAGAAGCTTTAGTTGGGGTGGAAACTGCTTCCTTGGATTCCTGCACGTCTTTCTTTATGTTTCAGTGCTGATTGGTCATTCCAAGATAGATGATTTAATTTTGATGCATGCTTTGTCTTTTCAAATTGTTGAATGCATTTCTATTGCTATGCAGGCCTCAAAACTGGCAGTTGAGGACTGTTTGGCATGTGTTGATCTTCTTGAGGTGCTCCTGGTGGATCATCCACACAGGTTTATGTTTATATAATATATGGAGTCATATGTGCTTAACTACCTCTACTGTTTTCTTTTAATTATTTCTACAGTTGCAATTGTCCTTTCAAACTTATTGTGAATGAATTCTGTCTTTTTCTTCCGCAGAGTGTTGGAGTCTATATCTATCAAATCACTGTTACAGGTGAACCAGAGTTTTGTAGTGTTTTGGTCTCTTATTTCAACAAACATTATAGAAACTGATTGTTGATCTAGTGCAGTTTGTCATCTATTTACTATGCCATCCAAGTTGGGACATTCGAAGAGTGGCTTATGATTCTACCAAAAAGATTATTGCTGCTGCTCCACAATTATCTGAAACAATTTTACTTGAATTTTCAAATTACCTTTCTGTCACGGGGGAAAAAGTTTTTCTTTTGAAGACAAGGTACTATCTTGTTTATAATGAATATTTTTTTTTTGTCTTTTGAGTGGCTGCCAGTACTACAAGAAAACACCTGGGCTTGTGAAAGCAATATTATCTGTTTGGTATATAGATTTGATATTTTGGATACATTACCTTGGGGTTATAGTGAGGGACGGAGCCTGGATTTTACCCCCAGAGGGGAATTCAATTGATTATTCTATGAGTTATTGTTGTTTTAATCCACCCAAAAGTCTCTTTACAAATTTATGTATTTAGTGAGAGATTAAAAGGATTGAACTGACCTAATTTTGGAGTGAGCAATAATGATTACAAAAACTTGTAAGTCTATAGGCACAAAGAAGGTGTTCTAAAAAACTTATTTTATATTGTTTTCGAGTCACATGATGGTCTTTAATCAGCACTTTCTATACAATTCAAGTATTGCCCTACTGTATGTTCTTTATTTTTTTGCTGGGCTATGTATACACTTCATTGGCCCTATTTGTTGCGACACCTGACAAGCTAATAATATTTATCAAAAAGGAAAAGAAACTACAACAAAACAACCAAGAGCTAATAATCTAACATCAGATGCTAGAAGCATTCTCCAACTCTCCAATAACATGCCTTTTCAGTTTAATAATGTCTTTTTTTGCCAATAAGCAGTTAACAAAAGCTACACCAAACACTTTGGCATGCACTCACAAAATAAATAAAAAAAAATTAGCACCCCTAAGGAACATGGCATTCTTCATTTTTGCTGGTTGAGCCATACGAATTTACCAATGATTGAATTTTTTTTTATAGAGTTGTGAAGGGGTTATATTTGAACCTTCCATCAAGTAACTTAAATTTAAGGGGTTGTTGCAAATCTAGGGTTGTAGCCATGGCTCCCCTGGGCCATAGTGTGGCTCTGTTCATGGTTATAGGGATCCATGATGATTTTGAGGGTTGGTTCAGTTGATTTGGTTGCTAGTAAAATAGAGAACCATTCCAAGCACACATGTTACTGCACTTGAGTCCTCTTCTTCCTCTTCTCTCTCTATCTCTCTCTCACATTATTCCCAGAGTTTTCTGGATCTGTTCTTTGTTTCTCTGTACTAAAGTTGTATTTAGTTTTTTGTTTTTATTTTTATGTGGATTGATTTTTAATTGTTGGTCTGTAGTGATGCAGAAAGTACATTGGATGCTCAGATTCCTTTCCTTCCGTCGGTGGAGGTTTTGGTTAAGGCTTTAATTGTGATATCATCTGCAGTTTTGGCTGCTACTCCCAGTGCATGTGTGCAACTTTTATTCTGTTCGCATCATCCATTCTTAGTTGGAACGGCAAAAAGAAATGCAGTGTGGAGGGTAACTCACTTTTTTTTTTTCTTTTTTTAACTACATACACTGAAGTTAGTTGGTGTTATTGAGTTTTAGTATACTTCATTTATTATGTATTGTGCATTCTGTAATGTTCTGTAATGAAGCTTAAGTTATGCTACCTAAAACCAAACCAAACCAAACCAAACCAAACCAAGTCTTAAGTCCCATGAAATGGGTCAGCTACATGAATTTTTCTTCTCCACTCAACTCTATCAACGGTCATTTGGTTAGTCAAATTAAAGAGATTCATATCTCAATTTACTACACTAGCCCACGTCAATCTAGGTCTGTCCCTTCCCCTAACACTTCCATCTGCCGTCACTATATCGCATCTCTTCACTACTGTCTCTGTTGGTCTCCGTTATATATGAAAAAGCCATCTCAATATATTCTTTCTCAACTTATTTCTGTCGGTACTACTCCTACCCATTCACGAATATACATAAGTTATGCTACCTATTGTCTTATATATAATCAGCATGAGTTTCACCTAGGTACTCTTCCTTCTTCGGGTGGGCAATTGTAAGCACTCTCGACATAGGTTCAACACCATAATGCAAGATTAAGTGTTCAATACTTAATAATAAAAAAAAGCGATCAATGCTCTCCTCATCTTCCTGCACATAACAGACCATTGCAGACAAAATATTCGGTCTTGTTTTCTGACACAAATCATCTATAATAATTATTTATTTATTTATTATTTTTTATGAGCCATGGTCCATGCATAAACTTTTAACTTTAAATGACATATCTGCACTCCAAATCATTCCATGAGGATCAAAGAATGGTGAATTTTATGTTATCACTCTTGTATTTAGCAGTACCTCGAGAGGCCATACGTGATACATCTCAACCAAGTGATCAATTTAAGCCTACCTTTATCACATCATATTTTAGAGATGTCTTCCTGTTATTGTTCTATGAACCAAAACAATCAGCATTTCGTGCATAGCTGGACATGATAGAAGAAAACGACCTTAGAAGTTATTTGAAATTTTCCAAGTTGTAGTTGGAACGATAGTATGCTTTAATTCCTGAGAATCCCAATAAACTAGATTCAAAGGACTGAACAGGAAACACCTTCTGTAAATATACGGTCACCCTCCTTGAATCCTTCCCTATTTCACTGAATACAGAGAAGCATTTGTACCAAAACAATCACCAGCCAGTGGTAATATTCTAGTCTGAATTAATTTTTTCTTCAGGATGATGCTTCATTAATGTCTTAATATCTATATTTGGTTTAGTTTTCTGGTAATTGCAGCAGACATCAGGTTTACAATGCATGGATGAGGATGCAATGTTTTTTTGCCCCTCTCGGTTTTCTAACTGAACTGAGTTTCGGTGCATACTCTTTGATATTCTGTATTAGCTTTTAGATCTTACTTTGGATGTAGGTGCTCCAATTTGTCAGTCCGTTTTAATTGCCACTAAACGCATTTGAAGTTCTGTTTATTGAGTTTATACTTGATCTGAAGAACACAATCTGGCTTGTAGTATAATTTTGTGCCATAGTCACTAAATCATTTGATAACACATCATGCTTAGCATTTAGTGTTTATTAGTTACAGACTTATTTTGCCATTAATTGCTTTCTGTAGTCCGCATATGACAACACAGACAAAACAAAGTGTTTCATTGTTTCACTACGACTGACGGAACTATTTTTGGCTATTGTCTCCCCCTTCACAGAGGCTGCAGAAGTGTTTGCAGACGCTTGGTTTTGATGTCATTGGCCTTATTAGTGCTGATGTGGGTAATATCTGCAAGGTAAATTCTAAGTTTTATGTTAGCTTTTAGTGGGCATATCTGCTTTGAGGTTTCTGGTGTTTCATCTATTTGGTGGCCTGACATTTTAATATATCCTGTAGAATCATGCAATGTATTTCTTCTTCTTCTCAGTAGCTGCAAGTTTGCATTTTTGTATTTTACTTCAATGTTGAATTTTGTTTTGACGTAGGTCTCCTGCAAATACACTCATTAAGAATTTGATTTTTATTTAAATTTTTGTGAATTGAATAAAAAATAAAAACGGATTATGCCAGTTTGTGTGCAGACAAGCTTGTGATTGGAATTAAATTTTAGACTTAAATGAATAATTAAAAAATGATTTTGTAAATACAATATGTGGATATAAGTGGTGTTAGGGACCTGATGTTGTGTTACTCGGAATAGTTTTATTTCTTTTTGTACCTTATCAGGTATGTGGATTATGGTTTCTTCTGGGATAATGATTATTGTGGCTGTATAGATAATTTGAGAATGTTATTCTTAATCTTCCGGGACAAGCCATCCCTAAAATAATTATAGTGCACTCTGTGTGTGTGTGTGTGTTGTTGAAGTGGTTATCTCTGGCAATTTAAAGTTCCTCGTTCCTTGTCTACATTACTTTCTTATGGTTACACAACCCATCTATGCAATTTATTTATGAATTTGGCACACATACAATATATTTTATGATTAATATTTCAGATAATTGGAACATTGTGCAGGGTTTGCTAGGACCGATGGGGTTGATGAGTGCTAATCATCTTGAACAAGAAGCAGCAATATATTCCTTGTCTACTTTGATGTCTATTACGCCAAGAGATACATATACCGAATTTGAAAAGGTTACTTGCATATTTTATTTTTAATATGTTTCCTGTGAACTAGGAGAACTAACATCATATTTCTTGACTTCAATTTTCTTGATCCCTATGGCAGCACTTAAACAACCTTCCAGACCGCTATGCACATGATACTCTTTCTAAAATTGACATTCAGGTGAGAAGTTAGTTTAGCTATTCTACTCTGTTGTTAATTCTGGGTTTTGTAGGTTATGAAATGGCAAACCTCTATATATCTTCTGTATATTTTTGGAATCGTCTTTTTGTCACAACGACACAATAAAGTTTGCAATCCCGAGAGTAGTTTAGCTTTTCATGATTAATTTTAATTTGACAACTATGATCTACTAAGGTAAGATTTTGCAAGGATTTTTAAGCCTAGTTTTTGGTACTTGCAGCATTGTTTGTTGTATGTTGTGCTACATCGATTTTGGAATGTGTGGCTCACACGCCTGTTTTGAGAGTTAGGAAGTAAAAAAAATAGTGAAAGTCAAAATTCCAATATGAAAAGACAAAATGAACCTTGTCTTCATCTTCTACGCTTCTTTTCGTCTTCAACACTTGGCTCATCTTTTACCTTGAAAACCCACTCACCACCCCCACCCTTACCCATCACCATCCAGCACCTCCCTACCACTACCGCCACCTTTTGCTACACCTTCCTGTGTCCCCCACCTCCCCTACCCCCCCTTATAGTCTTCTCCCTTACCTCCCAGTTATGCAGTGAAGTCCCACATTGCCTGAGCACAAAAGTAATATGCATTATACATAAACATGAGGGCATGCTCACCTCAACATCTAGCTGTTGGGGTTGGGTTATTCCCAAGACTGTGTAATACGGTATCGAAGATGGAGTTCCAGGGTTGGGTAGGGTTCTTATCCTTGGCTTCCACTGTGAAGAGAAGTCCTACATTGCTCAAGTACTAAAGTAATGTTAAACATATAAGTGTGAGGATACCCTTACCTCTTGAGCTAGCTTTTGGGGTTGAGTTTTAACCAAGACCGTGTAACAAGGTGTCAGAGCCAAAATACTCAGGGATGGGTAGGGTGTGTGTCCTTGGCCTTCATGCCGCAGGTGTTGCCGAGTGAGCACGTTGGGCGTGAAGAAGGGTGTGAAGCAGAGTCCCACATCACCCGAGTACTAAAGTAATGTTAAGGATATAAGCGTGAGGACACTCTCGTCTGCTAGCTTTTGGGGTTGAGTTCTATCCAAGACCGTGTAGCTTGCACGTGACATGTGCTGTTGAGTGAGCACGCAAGGGTGTAAAGAAAAGTCCCACATCTTTTGGGTACGAAAGTAATGTACAATATATAAGCATGACGAGGCCCTCACCATAATAGCCAACTTTTTGCGGTTGAGCCATCTAACATCAGCCTCCTTCCCGACTTTCGCAGTTAATCTGTACATCTGTTCTTCTAAGATTTATCTACATTAAAAACCTGTAAAGATTGAGTCATCAATAGTAACTAAGATTTCAATTTTATTTTGCTCTCCTCTCTACCTGTTTCTGAAATATGGCCAATACAGGTTTGTGGTAAACCGAAAAAGTAGGACCGATACTTATCTTTGTTTTATGCCTGTTCCAGGTTTATGCATTGGGCACTTCTTCTTTTTTTATTTTTATTTTTATTCCAGAGATGCACTCTGGATATATAAATACATTTACTTTTTTTTTGTGGCTATGTTGATAACATAACGCATATTGAATTTGATTATAAATAATGGCCTTCAATGGTTACGTGAATGTATACATTTTGTTGATTTTTGTGGGGATTAGACTGTACAGAGTATGTACATCCTTGCATTGCGTTGATCATTTGTAATGACAAGAATGACACACAGTGTGTATATGTATGTGATTATATATATGCTATGAAGCATGGGTACTTCGAAAAACATGCTGTACCCGTATCGGGTACTTTCCGGCATATGGTACGTCGTATAGTACTTCTGCATACGTTCCGGGTACACGAAACACGTACCCAAATTTTTTCTTCGTAATTTTTGGCATACCAGACGTATCTACTATATACCCAAGCCGTAGCGTACCTCAGTTGAAACAATATTTTCTTCTATTATAGAGATAAAACAACCCCTTTAACTAAACTTCTTTTTTATTTTTAGTTTTATACTTAGCATGTTTTTAAAATTAAATTATGGTTTGTAAAATATATTGACATTTAATTTTGATTTATACTTTTACTTTTGGTATTAAATGTTAATTATAGGTTGAATCTTAACAAATTAAACCATTTAATTAATTTTACATGACTATAAATTAAAAATAAATATTTTTTTACAAGCTGTACCCGTACCCGTACCCTACTTTTTTTGAATTTTACCGTATCGACGTACCCGTATCGTACCAGTACTCGTACCCGTACCCGTGTCTCATAGTATATATGTTTCGTATATATAAGTTCCTTTAGTTAATATAGGTTAAAATGTCCTCCAATAATTTTCAATGATTTTTTTTTTCTTTTATTTTTCTTTAATCAATGCTTACTTCAGTTGTTTCAAGTTTTATACATTTATAATTGTGTTTTTGTTTCTGGATTAGTTCTCACACTTGCTGTTGTGATTCCCATGTTACTCAGATTTTTCATACACCCGAAGGAATGCTTTCTAGTGAGCAAGGTGTTTATATTGCAGAGTCGGTCGCTGCTACGAACACAAAACAAGCAAAAGGCCGTTTCCGGCTTTATGATAATGATGATGATACGGTAATTTTGCATGCATCTTTTTCATTTGGTTTTGAATCATTTTCTGGTCCTCATCAATTCTTTTAAAACATGTTTTATGTCTTTGTTTCCAGGACCATGTCAACTCTAATCATTCGGTAAGGCGAGAGCATGCTAGTGTTGGGAAAAAAGACATGGGAAAGTCAACAAAGAAGGCTGGTATATTGTCATTGATTTTTTTTTTTTATGCTCATCCTAAAGTTTCTATGGCTTCATATACATTTATATATTAATTTTTGATAAACCCAGATAAGGGAAAGACTGCAAAAGAAGAGGCACGGGAGATGCAGCTTAGAGAGGAGGCATGTATTCGTGAGAAAGTTGTGGAAATACAGAAGAATCTGTGTCTGATGCTGAGAGCCCTTGGGGAGATGGCCATAGCCAATCCTGTTTTCACGCATAGTCAACTTCCTTCTCTGGTCTGTGTTTCATGTTGTTCTGTTCAGTTTTATGATTTTGACAGTCTGTTTCACTCGAGTGATTGATGTGAAATGAAGAGAAAGGAAACTCTTTTCTCATGTTTGGTTTATAAGTTAGGTGAGAAATGATGAGAAATGAACAGAGAGAACTTTCTTATTTTGTAGGTTACATTTCTCACCAAAAGTGGTGAGATTTGGTGAGAAAGAAACTAATTGGTTGTGTATTTTTCGTAACACCAAGATTCCATGATCATTTCTTCTCTTCTCACCTCATGATCCAATTGGAGTATAAGACATAAAGTTTACTTTGGCTAAATCATACTTGAATGGGTTGCTGTAGTTGAGTTGTTTCATGTTTTTGTTGTGCATAGAATATTGTTGAATTTCAAAACTTCTTATAAATTTTCTTTCAATATCTTTTTATTAGATGCATAATGTAAATTTAATGAGGGATTGTAGTTTGTGATTCTATATTGGTATGTGATGTGGAGATGTTGTTTTGTCCCCATCTAAGCAGCACATACACATGGCGATTTAAAAAAAAAGAAAAAGAGAGTGCATAATACAGAGGGTATACAGCAAAAAATATATTTTTTACATATTGTTATATGCTAATTTGTATCCACAAACAATAAAAATTATTGAAAAACTAAGACTAACTCAACATGGAAAAATCATTCAATCTATAATTTAAACACAATTTAATTTCTATGATACCATTTAATCAATCTTAAACCATTATTACATCACAAATGTCAAAACATTTAAATTCAGTAATGAATAGATCATCGTAATAAAGTTTTGTATGAGGACTCTTTGTCCTCTTTCACATTTTTTAATAAAGTTTTGTTGTTCAAAAAAAAAAAAAAAAAAAAAAAAAAAAAGATCATCGTAATATGTTGTTAATATTACCAAAAGTTTGCACAAAAATTCCCACTGGATCAACATAAATGGAAGCAGATAATAAGAATACTAGCAAGATGAGTGGGGTAATTGATATTTTAATACTTTTTGCCTCTAATTATTTTTTTGATCTTTTGGCTTTTAATTGGCATAAATTTGGCTATGGTAATATTGTTATGTTTCTTTCTTCCGAACATACTTCTTTTACGAATTCTAATTATACTTTCTTATACGTTTCTCTGTCTGTGATTTTGACCTGCATTTAAACCCTGTAACAAACTAGAAATCATACCCATTTATGTTCAGTTTGATTGTTGATGTTCTTCTGAAGATGTGATGAATCGCATGAGTAAATCAGTTATTACTTTATTGAAAATTCTAACATTCTTTGTGGTTCATTTTAATTTTAATTATTATTTTTATTTAAAAATCCAATATCAGGTTAAGTTTGTTGACCCTTTACTACGGTCTCCAATTGTGAGTGATGTGGCCTATGGAACCATGGTGAAGCTATCCAGATGTACTGCTGCTCCTCTTTGTAATTGGGCCCTTGACATTGCTACTGCATTACGGCTAATTGTGACAGACGAAGTTAATGTTTTGTGGGATCTGATTCCATCATTTGGTGAAGGGGAGACCAATGATAGGCCTTCCTTTGGTCTTTTTGAGCGAGTGATAAATGGCTTATCTGTTTCTTGTAAATCTGGACCTCTTCCTGTTGACTCGTTTACAATTGTTTTCCCGGTAACTTCTCGTAATTGTTATATACTTTTTTTTTAAGCATATCATTTTTTTGACAAGCTCTGTCACTAATTTGATGTGATACTTCAAATTTTGTCAGATAATGGAGAGGATACTGTTGTCTTCCAAGAAGACAGGACTTCATGATGATGTTCTTCGAATTCTGTTTTTGCATATGGATCCCGTTTTACCCCTACCTAGGCTTCGCATGCTATCAGTTACGTTTTGATTTTTATTGTGGCATATAATCTTCTGTATATAATTTTTTTGTTTGTTTGTTGTTGTTGTTGCTGCTATTATTATTATTATTTTGTGTTACAATTTGGTTGTTATATCTTCTACCTTGTATTCTGTAGGTTCTTTATCATGTTCTTGGTGTTGTTCCTGCTTATCAAGCATCAATTACATCAGCATTAAATGAGTTGTGTCTGGGTCTACAACCAGATGAAGTGGCACCTGTATGTGCCATGTTTCTTTAGTTGATTCTGCAATTTGCTTTGTTGGTATCTTATGTATCTTATTTCAGTTTCATATTATGCTTTCTACAGGCTCTTTATGGAGTTTATGCCAAAGATGTTCATGTAAGAATGGCTTGCTTAAATGCTATAAAATGCATACCAGCTGTTGCTAGCCGTTCTCTTCCTCAGAATGTTGAGGTTGCCACAAGCATTTGGATTGCTTTACATGATCCGGAAAAGGTGGAGCATCCTCGTTGATGTCTTTTTAATGTTGAACTTAATCTCAGTACTTTGACCTATATCTGGACAGTGGCAATGAACCTATTAACTACATTTGTATCTGGCTTGTCTGATGTCAAGTGTATTGTTATCATTAATGTACTTTGTGTGATGGCTTTGGTCTAATTTCATTGTTTACTTTGTCATGGTCTTCAGTTTCAGTTATTTTTTCTTTGTGGCTCCTGTTTTGGAGATTATGGTTAGTATTTTTTAAATATTACACTTGACATATTACTTGGGTTCTCATTAATCTTGTGCTGTTATACATAGTCGTTTTGTATTTTATTTTTGTTATGCCATTCCTCAAATTTGTGAGTATTACACTGCTATTAGTTTTCATCTTCAATTTAGTTCTATATTTCTTCATGTGTCTTTTATGCCGATGAACCACTATCTAAAATTTGAAAACAGAATTTGAATTTGGATTCGTAATTTATGTTAAAATGATGACCATTTTTATTGTGCATGTGAGTACTGGTTTTCCCTATGAATTGTTCATATATAACTTGGCAATCTGGCTAATTTGTGGATAGATTCGACATTGGACAAAGCAAGAATGTCCATTAGACTCATCTCATTTACCTTTCTGACAGTATGGCTCCTGTTATCCAGCTCCTCCAAGTTAAACTTTACTCCATAATGTTCCATATTGTGTATTTGCTACTCCTAAAATTAAAGCTGTTTGCGGATGTCCTGGTGCTTAGAACTTTCTGGGTTTCTTGATTATTCTCCACGTATGACATTAAGAATACGAAGACACTGTTGTGGATTATGAAGCATTTCTTTGTGTATGAAAATAGTAACTGTTGATTTCTTACACATCACTAATTTTTTTCTCAACTATTGATTTCTGGCACTTAATTTTCTTCATATCTTTGTTTCGTTGGCTGTTTTGCTACATCAAAACCAAACCAAGCCTTTAGTCCCATCAAATGGGGTTGGTTACATGAATCTTTCTTCTCCACACAGCTCTATTAAAGGCCATTTCGTTAGTCAAATTACGTGAATCCATATCTCTATATTTATTTGTTTGCATCAATTTTTGCTGCATCATTTATTTATTTGTTTATTTTCTTGCTATGTTATTGTTGTTTGCATGCAAAAGCCATTTGTGATGTTTATTTCCTGCTTCTTTCCTTTCAGGCAGTTGCAGAGGTGGCAGAGGATGTGTGGGATCGTTACGGCTATGACTTTGGGACAGACTATTCTGGCCTTTTCAAAGCACTTTCTCATGTGAATTACAATGTTCGCGTGGCTGCTGCAGAGGCATTGGCTGCTGCTTTGGATGAAAACCCAGATACTATACAGGTGGTGATGAACTTCAGCCTGCACACTCGTAACAAGTTCCTGTTGTGTGTTTCTTATGGATTGATTATATTCTCAGGAGTCTCTTTCGACTTTATTTTCTTTGTATATCCGTGACGTTGGCTTTGGTGAGGACAATATGGATGCTGGTTGGCTAGGCAGACAAGGAATTGCATTGGCTTTACATTCGGCAGCAGATGTACTTAGAACCAAAGACCTTCCTGTTGTTATGACATTTCTGATATCGCGAGCGCTGGTATGATTTTTGTTGCTGTTGTGCTTACTTTTTGTGAATGGTTGCATAACATTTTGCTTGGCTTTGTTGTGGTAGACGTTTGGAAATGTTTGAAAATATTGTAGTCGAGTGAATGAAACTACTGTTTTGTCAGTGTTTGGTTATCAAATTTTGTTTTCCCGTGAGACCACGATGTGCATTACAGAAAATTAGATTATGGAATTGTTGATTGCATAGAAGATAGATTATAAGAAATTTTTTCTCCGCTGATAAATATTCTGTTTTACAAATGGTCCCTCCACTTTTCTAATGGCCATTACTCATTGTTTTGTTTTCCAGTGCACCTAATGAAACTTAATACTCCTTCCGTCCCAAAATAATAGTCCCTTTTGGAGAATCTAACTTTTTTTGGCAGTACAATTATTGCACTTTAAAAAAAGAAAAATGTTTGGGAGTTCTAAACTATGAGCTCTAGGGGGTGGGCTTCATCCATTGATGTGATGTTCTGGCCTTAGGTTTTTCTTTTTTGCTTTTTTTTTTTTTTGAATTTCCACCTCATTAATGCTCAATTAGAGCTCCAAAATTAAAGGGATGAATTATTGTTGTTAAAAAAAATGATTTTCCAAAATTACCCTTTGACAGTACATTTTTGGGGGAATATCAATTGTTATGATTGTACTTTTTGTGTTGTTAATGAATTTAAAAGAAGGGTAAAATAGGAAATTCATATTATTTTAGTCGTTAATTTTTGAAAAGAGACTAATATTTTGGAACAATGAAAAATGGAATAAAGGACTAATATTTTGGGAGGGAGGGAGTAATGTTTTATTCTATCAAGTAGGGTGATTACTTGAAGTTAAGTGGCTTCAAGTAGAATGCTTTTATTGGAAAAAGTGAAAGAAATAAGAAGACAATGCTGCTTGAATTGAAGAATAGTGATTATCTTGATAACAGAAAAATTGTTAAAATAGACATTTACTAGTTTGATTGTTCCCAATGGGCAAATTAGGAGAGTTCTTATACATAGGATTAGACTATGATGCAGATAGGTATTTTTAATTGTAATCATTTTGTGGACCTTTTGAACTGCAGGCTGATACTAATGCAGATGTTCGGGGAAGGATGCTTAATGCTGGTATTATTATTATTGATAAGCATGGAAGAGACAATGTGTCTTTGTTATTTCCGATTTTTGAGAACTATTTAAACAAAAAGGTTAGTATTCCTTTTAAGTGACAAGCTTTCTAATGCATATTAGTAACTGTAGATTGTATATATTTTTTCTTATGTTAAATACTCCTTTTTTTCTAAAATGGCTGGACTAAAAGGTTATCTTCATATAATAGTATTGCCCGAACAGTTCAATATTCTTATTTGGCTTGTGTTCTTTGTTCAGGCATCTGATGAAGGAAAATATGATTTGGTGCGTGAGGGTGTAGTTATTTTTACTGGAGCTTTGGCAAAGCATCTGGAAAAGGTGCGAACATTATTATATCTTATATCTTTTATGTAAATATTGGCACTTTCTAAATTATTGAGTCTAGTATTGACGAGTGTGTTTTGGAACAGGATGATCCCAAGGTTCATGCTGTTGTGGAGAAGTTGTTGGATGTGTTGAACACTCCGTCTGAAGCAGTTCAACGGGCAGTCTCAACCTGCTTATCTCCGCTAATGCAGTCAAAGCAAGTATGTAGAAGGTCTTACTCATGGAAGGATCTGGATTGTGGAACTGTTTTTGTTGTTTTCCTCCTTTCTTCTGTGCTTCAGTCTGTTCAATGACAAGGGATACATTTGAACTTGTCACAGGCTTTTGGAATAAGGGATCAGTATTTGTTTCACAGGAATTGCTGCATGCCATGGCTTGTTGCTTATTTCCATGATTTGTGTTTAGTTTCTGTTACTCAGTTACCAATGTGACAATGTCCATCATAGCGGTTTCTGAAAACATAAACTGGGACCTGGGTTTTGATGCCCAATAAGGTCTCTGGCCTTATCCTGGGTATTTCCAGCAAACATATAAAGAAACTCTTGATGTTAGAGCCATGTTTCTTGTACGAGATGTCTGGACAAATGTTTAAGCATTTGTTGAATGTTCTGTTTAATTTTCAGCCACCTTAGGAGAACTTAGATACTTTAGTTAACCTGTAGCTTTGATTTATTTATTTATTTTTATGTCTTCAATCATAGAACAACATGCATGTTTTGGTTCGTGGGTTTGATCTTTTGAAGATTACTGTGCCTGTTTTATACATGGCTCAAAGTCTTAGCTGTTACTGAGTTTGTTAGGCCGACTTATCTCAGTGTCTGTCTGCTTCAATCTGAAACTGAGTATGTATGTGGAAATGGAATTTAATACCTGGATTGGTATTGTATTTAGCTAAATTGGCTCAAGTTTGTTGCAGTATTCTATTGCAAGACTAACTTTCATCCTATCTGTTAGGTGAACACCCGCTTTGGGTCCTTCCCAACCACAAGCCATGCATGGATTTTTTTCCTCGTCGAACCAAATGTCGTGGCATAACATCTTTCTCAGTTCTGTCTGTGTTTGTGTCTGTGTCTGTGTCTTCTTGATTTGCAAACTAGAAGCCTCCATCTTCACTCTTTTCTTTGTCAACACACTTTCCTTCCCTAACTGGGTACACTTGTCATGTATGTGTCACATACATATACACACATTGTTTAAAATATTTGTGAGATATAATTGTATATAGACTTGTAGAATGTAGTAGATTTTGGTTTATTGAAACTTATATTTTGTTACCACCTAGCTTGTTTTTCATTATTTGTACATTGTGGACCAAATAGTTGTTATCTAAATTCTATTTAATTTTTTAGAAGACTGAACTTTGTAACAATTCTGTAGGTGTTAGATGCTATCATATGTTTGTTTTCTGATTCCATTATGTTATTCTTATTATTCAGAATTTTCCATGATTTTCTTAGATTTATTTTGGCCTTGTATATACTATATCTTTAAGTCCCCTGATAGAACGACCAATACCACAACTTTGTACCATGGTTACGTACCGTTTTTAACCTCTATGAATGCCCATTTCTTTCCTGTTTCTTTCTTTCTGCTTTCTCCTTTAATTGTTACCCTCTATGTTTCAACATATGCTTGGACTGTAGAGATTATTTTTTTGGTATTTGTTTCCTTATTTTGTTATTTGCACTTGTTTTGTTATTATATGCTGTTACAGTCATGGTTAGATTGTCTATCTAATGATTGTTGTTGTATATGCTTATAATTTTAACTATATGTTTGCTGAATGGACCCTTTCTTTCCATTTCACTCGTTTTGTTTCCTTGGTTTAGGAAGATGCACCAGCACTTGTTTCTCGGCTCTTGGATAAACTAATGAAGAGTGATAAATATGGGGAGCGCCGTGGAGCTGCATTTGGACTTGCTGGCGTGGTAAAGGGATTTGGAATTTCATGCCTTAAGAAGTACGGTATTGTGGCAGTGCTACAAGAAGGTCTTGTGGACAGGTTTGTTCTGTATCATCAGTTTTTTTTAGCAATCTTATGTTTGTTACTGCTGTTCTGCACTCATGTATGGTTGAGTTGCATCCTTCTTTTCATAGACATCAGTCTGTATTTTCACTGCCGGCCCTGGGCTAAGGCCACTAAGGCTGGTGCCTAGGACCCCCAAATTTTTGCCCAAAATAAAGTCCCAAATTTATTAGTTTTATATTATATTAAAAGTTCAAATAAAACCCCAATCTTTTTTTATTGTTTGAGGCCCAGTCTAAAAGGCCCCTCAAAAAAATCAGTTGGGCCAAATTAAAAAAAAAATAAAAATATATATATATATCATCATTGTTAGGCCTAATTAAAAATTTATATAATTAGTCCAAACTAATATATATGATATAATGAGTCCAAATAGAGTCTAATGTCAAGATTTTAATAGAATAAATAACTTTATTTTAATTTTTTTGCCCTCTCTCTTTATCATATTTTAATTGAATAATTTTACCCTAATTTATTTTCCTTAATTTTGTTTGCCCTAATTTTTTTGCCCGCCCTCATTATCATTATTTAATTTAATAATTTTGCCTTAGTTTTTTCTCCCAATTTTTTCCCAATAATTTGTGTTTTGTTATCAAATAATTAATGGATTGTGATTTGTGTGGATTATGATTGTGTTATCAAATATCATATTACAATAATATAATCATTTCGTTATCAAATATTAGCAAATTATGTTGTTTGTATCGATTATAGCTAAATTATAAAACAATTTTATATTTTTTGAGTCTTTGTAATGATTTTTTCGTATCTTAATGTATGAAAATAAATTTTAATGATTATGTGTAAGGAAACTTTTTGTAGCTACTAAATAATAAAAAAATTATTGGTGACTTATTATTTTATCCGTCATTTTTTTTATTATAAATAATATATATATAGGAGAGCCCCCCTTTCAAAGTTCTGCCTAAGGCCCCATAAATCTCAGGGCCGGCCCTGTGTATTTTATGGGGTTTGAGTCACTTGCGCTTTCTTTTGTTGTGGCTGTATTAGGATGGAAACTAGCTTACAAATGATGAACAATTGAGTATAATTGTTTTGGAATTGCAGGAATTCTGCTAAATCCCGTGAAGGAGCACTGCTGGCATTTGAGTGCCTTTGTGAGAAACTTGGAAGGTTGTTTGAACCGTAAGTAGACAGTGACTATTGCCAAAATAGTATTTCCCCTGTATTGGTTAAACTGTAGATCTAATCCCTCCAGACCTCCATTTTCTGCAGGTATGTAATTCAAATGTTACCATTACTTCTGGTTTCTTTCTCCGATCAAGTTGTTGCGGTTCGAGAAGGTGCTGAATGTGCTGCTCGTGCAATGATGTCTCAGCTAAGTGCTCACGGGGTGAAGCTTGTCCTTCCATCACTTCTAAAGGTCCTAATCTTGGATACACTTGATTATCCTTCCATATATACAAATAATTATTCGTTAAGATTTGTATTTCATATGATCTCCATAATTTTCCAATTATGGTTTTCTTTAACGTTATAATTATTTCAATATACTTCAATGATTATCATTCTTTTGGATTTGTTTTACCCTTGTGTTTCACGTTCTTTCTTTGACGGTTTTGTCCTTATGATACTATGGTCTTTCCTGTGGTTTCACTGCTGGAGTGGGTAATAAATCCTTTTGCTAGTCAAGTGAGTGTTGTTTTGTTATCAGCTCAAATCTTAGTGATTCAACTGGTTGCAGACATTCCAAGCTGTTGGGTCTATCTCTGCTTCATTTTCTATCCTTGTTCTAGTTTTGATAGTTTATTTGTAGCATTGTGCCATGTGTGGTCCCATCACGGTGCAATGTGGGTTTCTCAATGAAATGGAGGGTGGGTGGAGTTGCGATTGTGTTTGATGGTGGTATTCTGTCCAACAATCTAGTGGGCGTAACTAGGTACTGGTGGTCTTTTCAGGTTGAGCGGCCTCAGTCTATCGGTTGAACGTTGCGACTGCCATGCTTATAGACCTTGTCTCTTGCATGGTGTGATGCTTAGTAGCGGCTCCTTTGGGAAATAGTTGCACGGAAGTGATACCTGGTCGATTTGAGCTCAACCAGTTGTGGTTTTGCTGCAGCTGTATAGAGTTAGCTATTGAGTGCTACATCACACACAGCTGGGGGTGGCTGTGTATGGGGGAATGATGCTCTGACCGTGGTGCGTCCTTGCTGACCAGGGGATAATGTTATGCTACGTGGCCCTTATCAGAGACAGTTGTGAGGGTTTTTATTTTGGGTGTGGTTTCTCCTGTGTTGCCTATAAGCTGCAAATGAACTAAATTGAGCCGAGCCGAGCTTTGCTGAGCTCGAGCTCGGCTCGTTTACTTATCGAGCTTGGCTTGGCTCGGCTCGTTAATATTAATGAAACTCGAGCTCTGCTCGGCTTGGCTCGATAATTTTTTTAAAATATTATTTAAATAAAAGTATTATTTATATTATTTAATATATAAATAATGTATTTATACTATTATTTATATATATTTATATATTATTTAATATATAAACATTATATTTATTATATAATTTAAATAAAGATAAATGAGCCGAGCTTGACGAACCAAGCTTATGCAAGCTCGAGCTCGGCTCGTTTAAACGAGCCGAGCCGAGCTCGTTCATGAACAGCTTGGTTCATTTGCAGCCCTAATTGCAGCTAGAGTCTTCCTAGAGTGGGTGGTTTTTTGCTGAAACGGTTTTGGGTTTGGTTGGACATATGTTTGGGACAGTCTGGCAGGTCTTGTTGGCACTCACGTGGTGTGTGAAAGAAGGCGAAGGATTGAGTATTTTTGTGTCTTTTTATTTTCCTGCTCCTTGTTTTCGGTTTATGCTTTCCTTGTTTTCGGTTTATGCTTTGGCTTTATGGACCATTGAACCTGATTAGGTTGTGTGGGTTTGCTCAGTCTCTAGGGTTTTGTTGTGTGTTATGTTTCGACTAGGCAGGTTTCCTTTGTTGAGGAGCTTCTCATGTGCCTTTACAGGGCTGCGTGAGAGCTTTATTGTAGTATCCTCTTTTTTCTTTTTTCTTTTTTGTGATAATAATAGAGGATAGGGGGTTGCCTAATGTACGAGCATGAAATTTGGATTCTTTTCTTGAACCAGTCACGATTGTCTTTCATGCAATTGTTTCTAAGGGTCTAAAATTTTTGTACCTTTTCTGAAAAATTGGATAATTTTGCTGAGGTCTAATTTCTTTTCATCTTTTTAAAGTTAAGGTGGTTGTATAGCATATTGTCTGATTGCCAATTTTGACTGTGGTTACTACCATAGGGCCTTGAAGATAAAGCTTGGCGAACAAAGCAAAGTAGTGTTCAACTTCTTGGTGCTATGGCTTACTGTGCTCCACAGCAACTTTCTCAATGCCTTCCTAAGATTGTGCCAAAATTGACAGAGGTATATCTTAATGAATTATGACCTTATGGCTTCCTAGTTTTGATTTGACTGGTAACTTCATCGTCTTTGAGGAGACATAAAAGTCTCAATGTTAAAATTACTCTATGATTGCAGGTGCTAACAGACACCCATCCTAAAGTTCAGTCAGCGGGGCAAACAGCCCTTCAGCAGGTCGTACTTTGTGTTATTAGTTTAGTGCTCATTCACTTTTGCGTACTTGTGTAGTTTTTTTGTGCTCTTGTAATCACGTCTTTGTTTTATTTCTAGGTTGGGAATGTGATTAAAAATCCAGAAATTGCTGCTCTTGTCCCAACACTTCTAATGGGCCTTACAGACCCCAATGACTACACGAAGCATTCCCTTGATATTCTTCTCCAAGTAAGGATGTGAACTTTACTATTAATTGTTATGATTTATGCATCTGTTCCTTTTTTTCCCCCTTAAAATAAAATAGCTTTAAATGTGTTTCATTGGTTGCAGACAACATTTATCAATTCGATTGATGCTCCTTCACTCGCACTGTTGGTACCAATAGTTCATAGAGGGCTAAGAGAGAGGAGTGCTGAAACTAAAAAGAAAGCTGCCCAGATAGTTGGAAACATGTGCTCTTTAGTGACTGAACCGAAGGATATGATTCCTTACATAGGTTTACTCCTTCCTGAAGTAAAAAAGGTACCATTTTACACTCTAGAATCTTACATGTTGACCCAACGGATATATATCTTATAGGCATTTTGCTTCCTGTACATGGTTTTCTATCTGTAAGACATTTTTGTTTATAGAAGAATGACAAATTTACTATCTTTCCATGTTCCTGATGAAACAGGTTCTTGTGGATCCAATCCCTGAAGTTCGGTCTGTTGCTGCAAGGGCCCTTGGTTCTCTCATAAGAGGAATGGGAGAAGAAAACTTCCCAGATCTTGTTTCATGGTTGTTAGAGACACTTAAGTCTGATGGTAGTAACGTTGAACGCTCTGGAGCTGCTCAAGGACTAAGTGAGGTTAGAGTTTACTATTTGTGTTTGATTTTTCTTTTTGTTGTTTTTCTTTTTATTCTAACTCTTTTTTGATTTTTTTTATATTAATCATCAGCATCTAATTGGTTCATGTCTAAGTTTTTCATATAATTTCGCATCATCCACCAACTTGAGTGACCTTGATTTTGTTTGAATAATAGCAGTCGTATTTTCAAAATCAAATTGTCTTTTAGGAAATAACAGAAATATATAATTCAATATGAACGACGAATATGAGAACAAAAAACTACTATAACCTGTCTATATTATATAATCAATGGAAACAAGGCCGGAATTTTGGGTCTGAATTAAGTAATTGATTACACTGTTATGCAGTCTTGGGATCAAAGCTTGTATTTTCAGCAGAATGATGCGAGTTATCTGTGTTGCTATGACTTGACATAGACACTGTGCACCCAAACACTTGTGCTATTGGCCTGCCAAATACAATCTAGGATTTTAATTTCTGAATCTGAAAACAGCATGAGTGTGTAGAGACCCAGACCCCCTTCTAGGCATTACCGTTAAAACATTTGTTTAGTTGCTGCATAAATGTCTGGACTTTAGTTGCATTTTGTGTTTTGTCATTACAACACTTGTACTTCGATGATGTCTGTTTTTTGTTTGTGTCATTTTTGAGACCTGTGTTTATTTGAATGTAGTTTTTGAGAGGCTGTTGTCTTTTTCTTCTCTAGATTTTGGCTGCACTAGGAAAGGATTATTTTGAGAAGATACTTCCTGATATCATTCGGAACTGTTCTCATCAAAAAGCATCCGTGCGTGATGGTTATTTGACACTTTTCAAGGTGAGGAGAAGAAATTGATTATTTGGTGTATGTTCTGGTAGTATTTGTTTTATAGGAAGTCTTTTATTATTGCCTTCTAATTGAATTTCTTTTGCAGTATTTCCCAAGGTCATTAGGTGTCCAATTCCAGAACTATTTGCAGCAGGTGTTGCCTGCAATCCTAGATGGTAAGTATTGTTTTTCTCATGTTTTGTTTTTCTGTGTCTGTATATGTTTGATATTATGTCTTTTTTACATGTTATATACTCACTGTCTCCACCTATTTCTTGGCCCTATAATTTGAGTCTGTTGTCTCCTTCTACCATATGCAGGCCTTGCTGATGAGAATGAATCTGTTCGTGAAGCTGCACTTAGTGCTGGGCATGTTCTGGTTGAGCATTATGCAACAACGTATGTTCTTTTTGGTTGTGCATTTATTGTTCTGATCCATTACACTATAGATTATTTATCTAAATCTGAATTTGATTGAGGTGATTATATTAAGAAGTTGTAGGGAATAAGAAATGAGTTGTTGAAGGGAAATCGTACCATTGGCAGCTTTAGTTTGTAATAACATTGTAGTTTCAGCAAATTCTCAAATGAATTCAGCAGTCATGTTATTTGAGACAAGTTTTAAAAGGTGTTATTGGGCTCCCCTCAAGGCGAGGCTAAGGAAAAATGCATTGAGGCTTTGCTTTTTAAGCTACACTCCAAAAGCTTAAGCATCAGTCTGAGGCATGCTCCTCAACTATGCTCTGTATGCCTTTTGCGATAAGCATATGAAGAGTATCTGAGTATGCATATGGAGAGTTTGTCTTGGTTGTTGTTAAGCCTAGTCTAATTCATGGTTTAAACATAATAAGAACATCTTTTTAGATATATTCTGTGGGAAATATGAAGTAAATGATCAACCAAATAAAAAAAAAAAAAAAGTGAAGGCTCAATTGAGAAGCTTGATAACTGAAGCTAAGAATGTTGATTTCACTTTCGATGTGAGCAAGCTCATTCTATGCAGTGAAATGTTTGATGCCTTGAGGAGAAAAGTATTTATACATTTATTTAATTTTAAAATTATACTATTTTAAAATATTTAATTTCTGTAGTAAATGTAAAAATTCGAAATGCTTATGCATGCGCTTTAAAAACTTTATTTGAAAGTTATTGAATTATTCAAAATAGAAGTGGGTCGCTCATGTTTGACAATTTGAGGAACCAGATAGCTATGTTTTCACTTTTTTGTGTTCATGTCAGATCTTTGCCCCTGCTCCTTCCAGCTGTAGAGGATGGTATTTTCAGTGATAGCTGGCGTATCCGACAAAGTTCTGTAGAATTGTTGGGTGATCTCTTGTTCAAGGTATTTGTTGCTCGTCCTTTTCAAAGTTAGCTTTGTGGAATTTCTTCTTGTTTTTTCCTTGACATGGTCTGTTTCTTCTAGGTTGCTGGAACCTCTGGAAAAGCACTTCTTGAGGGTGGTAGTGATGATGAAGGAGCAAGTACTGAGGCACAAGGGCGTGCTATTATTGAGGTTCTCGGAAGAGAAAAGCGTAATGAAGTTCTTGCTGCATTATACATGGTTCGAACTGATGTGAGCTTAACAGTGCGCCAGGTAATGCTGCTGTCAATATAATTGATTGCTTTGTTTGTTAATATTTTGCTGCCTTTTGGTTTTTGGACATGTAGACTGTAAGTGTGTTCCTCTCTCTCTCTCGTGCAGGCTGCATTACATGTGTGGAAGACCATAGTTGCAAATACTCCCAAGACTCTGAAGGAAATAATGCCAGTTTTGATGAATACTTTAATTACTTCTCTTGCATCATCATCCTCTGAAAGGAGACAGGTCTGCTATTCTTCTTGTGGTGTTTTCTAAGCTATGATAGGGTTTTGTACAGTCCCAAATAATAAATTCAGTTGCTCTTGTATTTTCAGGTTGCTGGACGATCACTTGGTGAGCTTGTTAGAAAGCTTGGCGAAAGAGTTCTACCTTTAATCATTCCAATTTTATCACGAGGGCTAAAAGACCCTAATGCTAGCAGAAGACAAGTGAGGCTTTTGACCTTTAAATTCTACTTTGTGGATCTTATTTTCTTGTTTGCACTGGGCTTGATGAGAATCTCTGAAGACATGGCTGACAAATAGGTTTCTCTTGTTTTGGCAACATTTTTGGTTGACTTATTGCAGAAAAAATATATGTTGGTGTACGGGGGGGCAAATATTCCGGCGTGCCTGTACTCCTTTCTACCAAGCTCCTCGTCTGTCTGATCGACTTGCGAACACAACGGCGGTGAGCTACCCGGCGGTGTGTGGCCGGAAAACCCCTCTGACGGTCAAGTTAGCACACACTCAGGGATATAGAGAGAGAGAGAGGAGAGAGTTGAGCGTTCAAGTGTTTCTTACAAAATGATCCATCCCCAGCATGGGGGGCGCAGTCAAGCTTATATACTCTCTGCACTCCAAATCTGCTCCCATTAGTCTCTTGACACGTGGTGCTGCTTTCCCATCCGTCAGCACAAATCCAGCGAACACCACCTAACCAAACCGCCAGACAACATTAGCGGGAACTCGGCAGCCCGGCGGCATCACCCGGCCTCCTTCGACCGAGCTACTTATCGAGTCTAACAATGTCACTCGCTGAGCTCCATCACAACCGAGCTCTGTAGCACCCCAGTGCGGCCGAGCTCCAGACAGGTTAGGCCAGTCCAAGGGAGATTACCTTCCCACCGAGCTACATGCGCGACCATAAGACCCGGATCGGCAGACAATCATCTCAGCCTCCTTCGACTGAGCTACTTATCGAGCTCAACAGTGCCACTCGCCGAGCTCTATCACAACCGAGCTCAGCAGCACTGTGGTGCGACTGTGCTCCAGACAAGTTAGGCCGGTCTGCGGCAGATCACGATCACCGAGCTAAAAAGAGCGAACAAGAGAAGACAAGCTGGCAGAAGATCTTCTCGGCCAACTCTGGTCTGGACTTCGGCCGAGCAAGCTTCACCTCGGCTCGGCCCAACTCAGCTCGGCCCAAATATGCTTGGACCACATTAAGCCCGGCCAGAATCGCGGCCCAAGCCGAGATTACAAAAATCCCCCTCTCAATTGCCCCTTAATTCCGTCTGCGCTAGCGTGACTGGGATTACATTACAAGGTCGGGCTATACTTTTTGCTCGGTGATCCACTTTGCTCGGTTTAGGAACTCCAAGGCGAGCAAGGTCCGCTCGGCGACTTGCTTCTTGGCGAGAAAGATCAGCTCGGCAAAGAACTCCAAAGAAGGCGAGCAAGGTCCGCTCCGCAACTTCCTTCTTGGCGAGCAAGATCAGCTCGGCAAGGAACTCCAAGGTAGGCGAGCAAGGTCCGCTCCGCGACTTGTCTTTTGGCGAGCAAGATCAGCTCGGCAAGGAACTCCAAGGTCGGCGAGCAAGGTCTGCTCGGCGACTTGTTCTTGGCAATCAAGATCAGCTCGGCAAGGAACTCTAAAGAAGGCGAGCAAGGTCCGCTCCGCAACTTCCTTCTTGGCGAGCAAGATCAGCTCGGTAAGGAACTCCAAGGTAGGCGAGCAAGGTCCGCTCCGCGACTTGTCTCTTGGCGAGCAAGATCAGCTCGGCAAGGAACTCTAAGGTCGGCGAGTAAGGTCCGTTGGGCGACTTTCTTCTTGGCGAGCAAGACCTGCTCGGCAAGGAACTCCAAGGTCGGTGAGCAAGGTCCGCTCGGCGACTTGTTCTTGGCGAGCAAGATCAGCTCGGCAAGGAATTCCAAGGTAGGCGAGCAAGGTCCGCTCCGCGACTTGTCTCTTGGCGAGCAAGATCAGCTCGGCAAGGAACTCCAAGGTAGGTGAGCAAGATCCGCTCCGCGACTTGTCTCTTGGCGAGCAAGATCAGCTCGGTAAGGAACTCCAAAGAAAGCGAGCAAGGTCCGTTCCGCAACTTTCTTCTTGGCGAGCAAGATCTGCTCGGTAAGGAACTCCAAGGTCGGCGAGCAAGGTCCGCTCGGCGACTTGTTCTTGGCGAGCAAGATCAGCTCGGCAAGGAACGCCAAAGAAGGCGAGCAAGGTCCGAGCCGCAACTTCCTTCTTGGCGAGCAAGATCAGCTCGGCAAGGAACTCCAAGGTAGGCGAGGAAGGTCCGCTCCGCGACTTGTCTTTTGGCGAGCAAGATCAGCTTGGCAAGGAACTCCAAGGTAGGCGAGCAAGGTCCGCTCCGCGACTTGTCTCTTGGCGAGCAAGATCAGCCCGGCAAGGAACTCTAAAGAAAGCGAGCAAGGTCCGCTCCGCAACTTTCTCCTTGGCGAGCTAGATCAGCTCAGCAAGGAACTCCAAGGTCGGCGAGCAAGGTCCGCTCGGCGACTTGTTTTTGGCGAGCAAGATCAGCTCGGCAAGGAACTCCAAGGTAGGCGAGCAAGGTCCGCTCCGCGACTTGTCTCTTGGCGAGTAAGATCAGCTCAGCTAGGAACTCCAAGGTCGGCGAGCAAGGTCAGCTCGGCGACTTTCATCTTGGCGAGCAAGGTCAGCTTGGCAAGGAGCTCCAAGGTCGGCGAGCAAGGTCCGCTCGGTGACTTGCTTCTTGGCGAGAAAGATCAGCTCGGCAAAGAACTCCAAAGAAGGCGAGCAAGGTCCGCTCCGCAACTTCTTTCTTGGCGAGCAAGATCAGCTCGGCAAGGAACTCCAAGGTAGACGAGCAAGGTTCGTTCCGCGACTTGTCTTTTGGCGAGCAAGATCAGCTCGGCAAGGAACTCCAAGGTCGGCGAGCAAGGTCAGCTCGGCGACTTTCATCTTGGCGAGCAAGGTCAGCTTGGCAAGGAACTCCAAGGTCGGCGAGCAAGGTCTGCTCTGCGACTCCCTTCTTGGCGAGCAAGGTCAGCTCGGCAAGGAACTCTAAGGTCAGCGAGCAAGGTCAGCGAGACGACTTTCATCTTGGCGAGCAAGGTCAGCTCGACAAGGAACTCCAAGGTTGGCGAGCAAGGTTCGCTCGGCGACTTGCTTCTTGGCGAGAAAGATCAGCTCGGCAAGGAACTCCAAAGAAGGCGAGCAAGGTCCGCTTCGCAACTTCCTTCTTGGCGAGCAAGATCAGCTCGGCAAGGAACTCCAAGGTAGGTGAGCAAGGTCCGCTCCGCGACTTGTCTCTTGGCGAGCAAGATCAGCTCGATAAGGAACTCCAAGGTCGGTGAGCAAGGTCCGCTCGGCGACTTGTTCTTGGCGAGCAAGATCAGCTCGGCAAGGAACTCCAAAGAAGGCGAGTAAGATCCGCTCTGCAACTTCCTTCTTGGCGAGCAAGATCAGCTCGGCAAGGAACTCCAAGGTAGGCGAGCAAGGTCCGCTCCGTGACTTGGCTTTTGGCAAGCAAGATCAGCTCGATAAGGAATTCCAAGGTCGGCGAGCAAGGTCAGCTCGGCGACTTTCATCTTGGCGAGCAAGGTCAGCTCGGCAAGGAACTCCAAGGTCGGCGAGCAAGGTCTGCTCTGCGACTCCCTTCTTGGCGAGCAAGGTCAGCTCGGCAAGGAACTCCAAGGCGAGCTGGGTCTGCTCCGTGACTTGCTTCTTGGCGAGCAAGATCAGCTCGGCAAAGAACTCCAAGGTCGGCGAGCAAGGTCTCCTCGGCGACTTGCTTCTTGGCAAGCAAAATCAGCTTGGCAAGGAACTCCAAAGAAGGCGAGCAAGGTCCGCTCCGCAACTTCCTTCTTGGCGAGCAAGATCAGCTCGGCAAGGAACTCCAAGGTAGGCGAGCAAGGTACGCTCTGCGACTTGTTTCTTGGCGAGCAAGATCAGCTCGGCGACTTTCTTCTTGGCGAGCAAGATCAGCTCGGCAAGGAACTCCAAGGTCGGCGAGGAAGGTCCACTCGACGACTTGCTTCTTGGCAAGAAAGATCAGCTTGGTAAGGAACTCCAAAGAAGGCGAGCAAGGTCCGCTCCGCAACTTCCTTCTTGGCGAGCAAGATCAGCTCGGCAAGGAACTCCAAGGTAGGCAAGCAAGGTTCGCTTCGCGATTTGTCTCTTGGCGAGCAAGATCAGCTTGGCAAGGAACTCCAAGGTCGGCGAGCAAAGTCTGCTCGTTGACTTTCTTTTTGGCGAGCAAGATCAGCTCGACAAGGAACTCCAAAGAAGGCGAGCAAGGTCCGCTCCGCAACTTCCTTCTTGGCGAGCAAGATCAGCTCGGCAAGGAACTCCAAGGTAGGCGAGCAAGGTCCGCTCCGCGACTTGTCTCTTGGCGAGCAAGATCAGCTCGGCAAGGAACTCCAAGGTCGGCGAGCAAGGTCCACTCCGCGACTCCCTTCTTGGCGAGCAAGATCAGCTCGGCAAGGAATTCTAAAGTTGATTAAAACCATCAACAGATCTCTTGCCGAGTAAAATTCATCCGACAAGGAATTCTAGAGTTGATAAAATCATCAACAAACCTCTTGCTGAGCAAAATCCGACCGGCAAAGAATTTCAAAGTTGATCAAAACTATCAACAAACCTCTTGCCGAGCAAAATTCGACCGGAAAGGAATTCCAAAGTTGATCAAAACTATCAACAAACCTCTTGCCGAGCAAAATCCGCCGAACAAGGAATTTTGATCTTTCCGTCAAAATGATTGTTAGTTGTCCCTTGAACCGCACTAAATCCGCTTGGCGAGGCAAAAATACAACAATTCTCAAGAAAATGGTCTGCTTGTTTCATTGTGCCAATGGCAAAAAGGGTTACAAAAATAGAATTAAGAACAGAACTTTAGATTGGCAGAGTTTGATGTTCTGAAAATGGATCGGCCATTCACATTCTGCGAGTTTTATGCCCCTTTTCCTCGGCCTTCTTATAGACGTCTTCCAAAAACCGAACTCCCTATATCTGTTCCAGGGTGGTTTGCATGGTCGTCATCTTGTCCGACTGCGTGAACCTTTCGCACTACTCTCTTATTCTCTACTACCGGACTTGCCGTCACGGTAGTTGCGGCTACATCGTCTTCGACTCGGATGTGCTCATTGATGCGCTGCATTAATCGGCCCATGGATGTCGGCTGGTTCATGGTAAGCGAGTCCCGCAGCCTATGTCCAACCGGGAGACTGCGCTTATATTGGGTGATTGCCAGGTTGATCGGGCAATCTAAAATCTCGTTGAAGGTTTCCCAGTATCCGGAGTTGTATGCCTTGAGTGTGTCGCTCAACTCCATTTTGACACTGAGAAGGTGGTCTACCTCCTTTGGTGTTTTGGTGTTTTGGTGTTGGTCTTGAAACGAGTCACAAATGCTTCCACCAACTGCTACCACCTTTTGATGCTTCCTTCCGGCAGCCTCTCAAATCATTTCAAGCCCAGCTCACCCAAGCTCGACGGGAAGGTAAGGCACATAAGAGCGTCATTTCGCCTATGTCCGGCCATGACCTGTCGGAAGTGACTTACATGCATGTATGGATCGGTCTTTCCGTCGTAGAGCATAAATTTGGGCTGGTGGAAGCCTGCTGGGAGCGGTGCGATCTCTATCTCCAGGGAGAAGGAAGTGGCGCTCAGCCTCGCCAAATCTATGTCTAGAATGAGGGGCTCAGCTGGGCGCGGTGGTGGCATTAGGACTTCTTCACTGGCGTGATCCCCATAAGATAGCCGCTGGAACGCCGGCACCCTTTGGTTCTCTCGCCGGCGAGCCCGCTCCTTCAAGACTACCTGCAAGTCCTCTAAACGAGCGGAGTAGGAATACCTCGACGTCGTCGCCGGACATGAGGGAATGTAGGTATTATTTTGCGCGCTTGACTTCTCTACAGGTGCGTCGAAATCTCCAACCCTGTAACTTCTAGTGATCGAAAGGAAGGGAGTGTGCCTCTGGCTCTGACTGCTTGAACGGCGTGGTTGGGTGCGCTCACTGTGGTCTCCCACTCCAGCAACACCCTTCCCTTTGACATGCCGCTTGAGATCTTCCATCTCTGCCGCAATTCTTCGGATGACGGCGTCTTGGTCCCTCAACTTGTGCTCCAGACGTATAGCGTGTGATTCTCTCCGCCGCCGATGTCTGTCTGGGCTCCGAGAATGACTGAAACTTCTTCCGCGCTTATCCCGCGCGTCTCTTGAATGTCCTCCTGGGGAAGTCTCCAGGTCCGCCATGGGAGGAATGGCGGGGAGTCCGTCTCTCCGTCTGGCTGACTCTGGGGTAACTTCGTCGATGGCCGACAACGGTATCTCGTCGTTGTTCGTCATGGGAGGCGATCAGATGAGCTTGGAAGACAAGGTTTTGTCTATCAAGATTCCCACAGACGGCGCCAATTGTACGGGGGGCAAATATTCCGGCGTGCCCGTACTCCTTTCTACCAAGCTTCTCGTCTGTCCAATCGACTTGCGAACACAATGGCGGTGAGCTACCCGGCGGTGTGTGGCCGGAAAACCCCTCCGACGGTCAAGTTAGCATACACTCAGGGATATAGAGAGGGAGAGGAGAGAGTTGAGCGTTCAAGTGTTTCTTACAAAATGATCCATCCCCAGCATGGAGGGCGCAGCCAAGCTTATATACTCTCTGCACTCCAAATCTGCTCCCATTAGTCTCTTGACACGTGGTGCTGCTTTCCCATCCGTCAGCACAAATCCAGCGAACACCACCTAACCAAACCGCCAGACAACATTAGCAGGAACTCGGCAGCCCGGCGGCATCACCCGGCCTTTCGACTGAGCTACTTATCGAGCCTAACAATGTTACTCGCTGAGCTCCATCACAACCGAGCTCCGTAGCACTCCAGTACGGCTGAGCTCCAGACAGGTTAGGCCGGTCCAAGGGAGATTACCTTCCTGCCGAGCTACATGCGCGACCATAAGACCCGGATCGGCAGACAATCATCTCAGCCTCCTTCGACTGAGCTACTTATTGAGCTCAACAGTGCCACTCGCCGAGCTCCATCACAACCGAGCTCAGCAGCACTGTGGTGCGACTGTGCTCCAGACAAGTTAGGCCGGTTTGCGGCAGATCACGATCACCGAGCTAAAAAGAGCGAACAAGAGAAGACAAGCTGGCAGAAGATCTTCTCGGCCAACTCTGGTCTGGACTTCGGCCGAGCAAGCTTCACCTCGGCTCGGCCCAACCTAGCTCGGCCCAAATACGCTTGGACCACATTCAGCCGGGCCAGAACCGCGGCCCAAGCCGAGATTACGAAAATCCCTCTCTCAATTGGCAACATTTTCCTTTTTTTCTTTTTTCACTTGTTTTTGTTTACATTCTTGGTGTCGTTTTAAATTAGTATGGATATCATGACTGTTTATCTTAATTAATAGCGTAGCATAGGCAATGTAAACTGTAGTACTGATCTAAGAAGCACATACACACTTCTAAGAGGGTGGCATGTCCTTGTTGACACTGACATGTTAGATCTTTCTAGACCTGGAAATGCTTCAGACAATTGGTATACACAAGTGTCCATCACTTAGGCACATATAAAAGACATTATAAGTGTGAACAAAATAACATAGGATACAATGATAAAGAAAACAATTTAGATTTATATCTATTAATCTCTCCTTTTTTAATTTTTGTTTTAGTCCGCAAATCTAATTTTCTCTCCACCAACAGGGAGTATGTATTGGTCTGAGTGAAGTGATGGCCAGTGCTGGTAAGAGTCAGTTGTTGAGTTTCATGGATGAGCTCATTCCTACCATCCGTACAGCCCTTTGTGATAGGTTTGTTGATCAATTGCTCTGATTTGCTGGTTCACCTAATCTATTCCACTTCTGTCTAATCTTTGGTGTATGCTATATTATGTTTCTTGTATTTCTTTAATAGCATGCCTGAGGTTCGTGAGTCGGCAGGCTTAGCATTCAGCACACTTTACAAGGTGCTCTTTCCTAATGTTTTTTAGTCATTTGATTTTATTTTTAACATGGTACTCTGGAGCAGAAAAATGTATAATAAATTGCCATAATGTAGAGTGCCGGATTGCAAGCAATTGATGAGATTGTCCCAACACTCTTGCATGCTTTGGAGGATGATGAAACCTCTGATACTGCCCTTGATGGCCTCAAACAAATCTTAAAGTAAGATATTCCACTTCTTAGATTAAATGCTGGACTTCTTGTTGTTTTTCAGCTGTTTTGTGGTCCTTAAATTTCTTTGCATGTTAACTTCAGTGTCAGGACTGCTGCTGTTTTGCCTCATATCTTGCCCAAGCTGGTCCACCCTCCTCTTTCGTACGCATATAAACCTCCATTTTTGGTAAAGTGATACAGTTTTTAATCCTATTTTTTTTGCTAACACCTTTGGATATGTATCCAGGGCCTTCAATGCACATGCTTTGGGAGCTCTAGCTGAGGTTGCAGGTCCTGGTTTGGACTTCCACCTCAGTACTGTCGTTCCAGCTTTACTCACTGCAATGGATGATAATAACATGGTATGAAACTCTATAATTATAACTTGTTTTGGTAGTACTTGTTTTTGATATCATTTTATAGTTCTTGCTTTATTTTAATCCTTTTACTATGGTAATCAATAATTCTCCGGTGCTCTTTGAAAATTTAGGAAGTCCAAAATTTGGCAAAGAAGGCTGCGGAGACTGTTGTCTTAGTCATTGATGAGGAAGGCATAGAACCATTGATATCAGAACTTCTTAAAGGGGTTGGTGAGCATCAGGTATGTTTTTGCTGAATTTTTTGGTTAATATTGTTTTCATCCTCTCTGTCAATCTCTCTTTTGTGACTGTTTTTTGGTTGCAGGCTTCAATTAGACGAAGTTCTTCATATCTGCTTGGATACTTCTTCAAAAACAGCAAGTTATATTTGGCTGATGAAGCTCCAAATGTGATAACCACCCTGATTGTTTTGCTCAGTGATTCAGATTCAGCTACAGTTGCGGTAATTCCATATAAATAACCTGTGGTTTTCTTTTGCTCCTCTGTGGTGCATGTTGTTTCTTACCATTTGTTCAACAGGTTGCTTGGGAAGCTTTGTCTAGAGTTGTCGGCTCAGTTCCTAAGGAAGTCCTTCCTTCATATATAAAGTTAGTTCGTGATGCAGTTTCTACATCCAGAGATAAAGAGCGTAGGAAAAGGAAGGTTAGTATGGTTTTATTGCTGTATAAATAATCACTCGTAGATGACACTGTGAACCATAATCACTATAATTTCCTTGGGCCTAATTTTTTTTGGGGCATCCTCAAATTAATCTTTTTCTTACATGCAGGGAGGGCCAGTTCTTATACCTGGATTATGTCTCCCTAAAGCTCTTCAACCATTGCTTCCTATCTTTCTCCAGGTATGCCTGTTCATCTCATTCGTCCAAGCTCTTATATAATATTCTTGTAGTGGTTGTGGCTTTATTTTCCAATCATAATAAGATGCTTTTGGATAATATGTATTTTTTTCACTTTAATGGGGACCACACCAGTGTCATGCATGTTTTGGGTAATAGCCTAGTTTTGGGATGGTAGATGAGATATGTGATTATCAGCTAGGTTATACTTGCTCTTATTTTAAAGTATAATCTGTGGCTATTTGGTGAAATTGAAAATTTGCCATTGATTATTTAGTGGTGTGTTAATAGTGTTAGAGACAGTTGATGAACTATTTAGTTTGAAAGAATAGAAGTACGCAAAAAAACAAAAAAGAAAAAAAAGGGAAAATTATTAATAATTGTGATGTCACATCGTATCTATCTTGGTAAATGTAGACATAATTATGTATACACCTTGCCTTGTCATGCCTATATCTTATTCTCTATTGTGGATTCTGACTTGCTTTCACATCTCTAGGGTCTTATAAATGGATCAGCAGAACTGAGGGAGCAGGCTGCTCAGGGTCTTGGGGAATTGATTGAAGTGACAAGTGAACAAGCCCTCAAGGAGTTTGTTATCTCTATTACAGGGTATTTATGGAGACTTATTAGTATATGCGAGTTGTAGCTCAATATTTTCAGTCAGATAGTAGAACCACCTGCTTGTGAACCTAGTTTAAATCATCCAACTGAAGAATTTTAATCCCAAAGAGCAACAGAAGATATTGGTGAACAATAAGCTTGAGATGGTTTCAGGATTCTACGTATATTCAAATCATGAATCGAAAAATTTGGCACATGCTATTAAAAATGACACCGAATCAGAAGATTTGAAAATAAATATAAAAAATTGTTGAACCTTGGAATTCTTTTCGATAGCTTATCCATGCTGACTTTGGTGTTGATGTTTTCTTTTATTACAGGCCTCTGATCCGGATAATAGGTGATCGGTTCCCTTGGCAGGTGAAGAGTGCGATTTTGTCAACTTTGACCATCATGATACGGAAGGGTGGGATGGCCCTGAAACCTTTTCTTCCACAGCTTCAAACAACATTTATCAAGTGTCTGCAGGATAATACAAGGTTGGTTTGAATTTTTCTTTCCAGCCTATTTGGACAATCGGAAGGGACTTTAATGTGTTGTAAACAATTATCTTATTAAACATAAAATTGTTAAATTCGTTATTTTTAGACTACTCATGATAACTTTTGTTTGTTTAGTTGGTTTATTTGACCAACTTTTATCAATTGTTTGTAAGTGGCACAGCTTGCATGCTCTTTTACCTCCTATTCTTATGAGATATGGAACTATAATACAGGACTGTTCGCTCGAGTGCTGCCCTCGCACTTGGGAAGCTTAGTGCACTCAGTACTAGGGTTGATCCTTTAGTCGGTGATCTTATCACCAGTTTGCAGGTGATACTTGTTATCTTGTATCATTCGTTGCTATTTTGTTTTTGAGTCGGATATTTTAACAATTCAGATATCAACTATCAGGTATCAGATGGTGGTGTCCGCGAGGCCATTTTGACTGCTTTAAAGGGTGTCCTCAAGCATGCTGGTAAAAGTGTGAGCAGTAGTGTTAGAATTCGTGTCTACACTCTTTTGAAGGATTTAATATATAATGATGATGACCAAATTCGAGCTTCTGCTTCAAGTATATTGGGCATCATTTCACAGGTTTGTGTAAATTGCAAAGAACTCTTATACATGTTCACTGTGACAATGTTCTGACTTTCGTTCAAGTACAAGGTTCACATATTTACATTGAGTAATGCTACAAACACTAATTAGTATATTAACTAACACAATAACTAAGGCCTCGTTTGGGAACTTTCCATTCTAGCAAAAAAACCAAAAAGTTACTAAATTAGCCAAAAAGCCAACAACTCATACCAAAAAGTCAAAGATTCTCTTTTCTCTCTATTTTTTGCACATCTTTTCGTAAAAAGCCAAAAAGTCATCCCAAACATACTAGTTTTTTTTAGCTCATATTTTAGCCAAATAGTCAAAAAGTTACTAAATTAGCTTGTTCCCAAACGAGGCCTAAGACACAAAGCATGCATGTGGGTTCCACCACTTTGTCCTACCTAATATTGTATTTAATTGGTGCGTTAGTTGGTACATTAATTAGTGTTCCTATCATTATTGATTTACATTGGGTTGTGTTGTTCCTATGTTTGGCCATGAATTAAATATTACCAATAAGACCACTTCCTGAGATCAATTGCATTTTCATGATCCCAGTGCCTTTCTCAAATTTATATTGGAGAATACGGGTTTTAACTATTTTTTTGATTTGGTTTTTTTTATTTATTTCTAACGTAACTCTAAATTCATGATATTGCAGTACATGGAAGATGGTCAAATCTCTGAGCTACTTGAGGAACTCTTAAGTTCAGCCTCATCTAGCTGGTTTGCTAGGCACGGCTCAGTACTTACAATCTCTTCCATGCTCAGGCATAATCCTTCAATTATTTGTGCATCTCCTATGTTCTCAGCTGTTCAAAACTCCCTTAAAGATTTCTTGAAAGATGAGAAGGTATTACATTCTTTTCAAAACGAAATTTTGTGTGTGGTTTTCTTAGTATTATTTGGGTTCTGACAATCTTTCTTATATAGTTCCCTGTTCGTGAAACATCAACGAAAGCGTTAGGAAGGCTTCTACTTCATCAAATTAAGAGTGAACCCTTGAACACAACTGCACATTTGGAAACTCTTACGTCCTTGGTATTAGCCATGCAGGATGACTCTAGTGAAGTCAGAAGACGAGCATTATCTGCACTAAAAGCAGTTGCAAAAGTACATTCTTGACCGTTTGCATTTTATGTATATAATAATGTACCCCGTATTTCCTGAATCTTATTAAAGAATGAAGAGGTCTTTTTAACATTGGAGTTATATGGGCAGGCTAATCCTACAGTTGTTACGAGCAATTTTGCAACATTCGGGCCAGCACTTGCTGAGTGTTTGAAGGATGGAAGTACTCCTGTGAGACTTGCTGCCGAAAGATGTGCATTGCACTGCTTTCAATTGACCAGGGGTATTTACTTTTGCTGTCATTTTTTTATTTTTATTTTTATGTCAACTCTTATCTATTTGTTGTCTACATTAATATGAACTTTTTAACTATTGATTTGACCATTTCAATTTTCACTTTATACCTCATTGTACTCAACACCTGTAATTCAAACTCCTAAATTGGAACATAGAGTAGATTTCAACTCTTTGTTTTCCCCAATCTGTTTTCCAGGTACAGAAAACATTCAAGCTGCACAAAAATTCATCACAGGCTTGGATGCCAGACGAATATCAAAGCTTCCTGAACACAGGTATATCCATCAATCATTTCCTCTCTTTTCATTTTCTTGCTTCACATTTACGTTAAGGTTTATAAACTTTAAATGCTTTTCAACTGCCAAAAACATCAGTTGTATCAGTTTTTACCTTTCATGTTTTCTTTTTTCTCGCCCATCAGATGTTTTCTTCAGCTTGATCAATATATAATTTATATGCAGCACAGGCATCTCGTTGTGTTTTTAGTTCATGTTTCTAATAAAATTTATTTATATTGTTTTGATATGAAATGAAAAAAAGGCCATTGGAATTTGGAGCTACTCTTCAGAAAAAATAAAAAAAATAAAAAAAAATGAAAAGAAATAATAACTGGAGCTGAAACCATATGAAAATCTAAGGCTCTGTTTGTTTAGGTTTTCAAACTAGTTTTCTACACCAGAGTTTGAATATGATGTTTATTTAGTGTTTTAGAATCACGTTTCGAAAGCTCTGCGGAGAGCTCTGTCTCAGCCGCTTTCTCAGCCGTGCTTTTCAGAATTTTTTTTTGAAAATTTTGCTTAACAGGACGTCCGGCCGGTTGACCGGAATAGTTATTTTTTATTTTTTTATTTTTTGCAATTGATATATTAATTTTTATATAATCGAAAAAAACATTTTCTGAAATTTTTTAAATTTTTTATGTGCTTTAAAATAATTTTGAGTTGTATGTTTAGTTATGAGTTGTAAATTTTTGTATCAAATATCAAATGTCACATCAACAATTCCCCACTCAAATCAAAACTCTTTTCAAAACTATTTTGAAAACTCTTTACCAAACAAATTTTCTACACTCAGATCACAATTCCAAACCCCACAAACTCAAAATACAATTCATACTCTCAAATCATAATTACAAAACACAACCAAACGTAGGCTAATTCTTCTGCTTACTGGTTGCATCTGATAGTCCATTTTGGTTAAAGAACTGCAAAACAATCTTTGAAGACTTCAGAGAGTTAAAATATGAAAATCCTTCTAAAACTGCATAATAATAATGCATTAGGAAAATAATTATCTGACAAGGTTTAAATTAAATATGTGATAAGTACAAGAAACCTCTGAGAGTTTGGGAGGTAAAAATCGAATCAAATGATACGATGCAGCAGCAGGAGAAGGGTATAGCAAAGTGTTTATGATTTGTATGTCAGATTCTCTCGATAAATTCCGGCTGCTGTGATTAGATGAGCTTTCTTCTCTAGGCAAAGATTTTAAAGTAGGAAAGTGGCAAGGAAAATTAGTCACTTTTTTCTCCTTTATACCTAAGAACATTCTAGACCTAATAGGAGAAGTCCAGAACCTTACAAATTTTACTAAATGAGAGTTTAATTTTCAGTATTTTGCATCACCCAAACCCTACCCGTTTGTGCTATGATTGATCCTTTTTACCTTTTGGCGCTTGAATTAAAAATCTCACAATCCTTGAATAGTTTGTCTGGAGCATTCCAGTCCTGGGTCTCTGCAAATCCAGTGTACCACTGCATCTAAACTAAACACAAGCTAACCCCAACCCTTTTCAATCCCAAGGCTATATAGCCATTGTTCTGCTTTCTAAGATCATCACTTGGTATTTGCAAATTGACGTTTATACAAAAAACACATCCACAATAATGTGTATTTTTGAAATTATGAAGAGGACCACAAAAAGCCACATCATTTTGTATAGAAATCTTGTTTGTAGATCAGAACTCTTGTTTGTTTGTATGCTCACATAGAGATTCTTTGTGGATTCATTGTTTGGTTACTTAATCCATTTATGGAATATTATATGTAAATGCAGTGATGATAGTGAAGACAGTGAAGACGACTTGTCGAGTGGCTGATAAATTGGTGGTTCCATGATTGGTGCCTTTTTTGCTTTCTACCACCACGATGGAATTTTTCTTCAGTTGACAACGCTCAAGAATTTGCTGCCGAAGTTTTTTGTGGTAGTTTGGCTACTTAATAGGAAATGGTGTTGTACAGGGATGGAAGAGGATTATTCCCAATTTTTCTTAACGGGTCTTCCATTTAATGTCAATGTAATTGTTATATCGGAACAAGAAATATATTTGATATGTGAAAGACAGAAAACTGTCTAATTTTTGTATGATTTTTGTCGGATGCTGTTGGATTACAGGAAACTTGCAAATAAAGATCAAAATCACCTCAGAGTTTGTTTCAAGGGGTAAACATTTTCAAATTTTTATTTTTTATTTAGCTAAAGTGAGAACCTATAAGCAAATTCTCATTTCTAATTTTTGTATGATTCCTTGAGCCGAACCATCAACAATTAGTTTGATAAAAGATTGGGGCAGAGCGTTGACAGTTTGTGAATGAAAAAGAGAGCGTCTGGTCTTCAGTATAGGTTTGAATTGTAAGGATGTAAGCAGTTCAATTTAGGCCAAGTTTGGCATCCTCAAAAAAAGTCAAAAAGTCACTATCCTATTTAAATCGCATCATCTTATTTAAGTCACATCACTTCTCTAATACATCACTTCAAACCCGATCCAAATCCAACTTATATTTCATAAAAAGTCAAAAAGTGTATTTATTTAGTCTTTTCAAACTTGGCCTTAGTGCGAATTGGGAAAAAATTTAACATCAAATTGGACCTCATGTTTGAGGTATTAAAATCAACCACATGTTGCAGTTCAAATTTTTGACTGAATGTAAAGAAATGATTCACATGAAATTGTAAGAATTTTGTAGGGACGTATAGAATTTTACATTGAGAATAAATAGATAGAGATAAATGGTGAATGAATGTTGATCTATGAACACACATGGTATCCATGCTTTTGCTTTAGTGATTAGAAAAGTTGGCAAAAATTTTATTTATGAATAACATTACTCAATGAAAAATCAACAAAATTTGAAATTAATTTTAATTGGTCTTGAGCGAAGCTCTACTGTGAGCCTTAGTGGAGACTCATTTTAGAAATTTCTAAAATTCAGTATAACACCATAGATGATGTGGGGGGAGTCAACTCAATAATTATGTGATATATTTTTTTAAATATATCTAAATCAGAAATTGATTTAATTTAGATGAAAAATAAAAAATTATAAAAATATAAACTATGTTTATATTTATATATAAAAAAAGTATACAAAAAGTAAATCACCTTGCTTGTTTTCACTTTTTAAAAAATACTTATCAGAAAATTATACTTTCTTATTTTCCGTATTTTTTTGTTTTTACTGAATTTTTTTAATATTTTAAGTAATTTTTTTTTTTTACTTTTTAGACACGCTTAACATAAATACACCTAAAAAGTAAAAAAATTATAAAAAAAATCTTTTAAAAATTCACTAAATACCAAAAATATAAAAAAAAAATTATAAGAATTCAGTACAATTTTTTTGTATTTTTATGTATTTATTAATTTTTTAAAATATTTTTTCACAAATTTTTTACTTTTTCGATAAAAATAGAAAATGACTTGGATCCCCACAAGGGGCACCCCACGACCCCCTCTCTCTCTAATTGGCCATTTTTTTTTTTTTCCCCCTCTCCAATAACCAGCCGCCAAGTGTGTGTGGAGGTGATAGAAGTGGTGATTGGAGGGAGTCTCGATCACTTTCTAAAAGTTATATAATCATGATAATAAAAAGAAGAAATAGTATAAAAGAAAAAGTAAGATAGTCATTTAAAAAAATTTAAAATATAATAACAGTAATTGAAGAGGTGATTTATAATGACATTACAAACTTAAAGAAGAAATTTGTCAAATGTATGGAGATCTGTATTAAAAAAAAGGGGATTTGGTGATAGCCCCCTCACTATCTAATTTGTCTTTCAAAAGGACAAGAATTATATAAGTACTTTCAAAACCCCCTGATATTTTAAAACTTGCTTCTTTTACTGTATTACCCTCATATCTATCAGCTCTCCTACTAAGCCATCTTCACTATATATTTCAGAGTAAAATTTTACTTTAAGTAAAATTTTACTCTGAAACTAAAGTAAAATTTTACTCTGTATAAAAGTAAAATTTTACTCTGAATAAGAGTAATATTTTACACTCTGAAACTAAAAGTAAAATTTTACTCTGAAAAACAAGTAAACTGTGAGACTCTGAAGCTAAAAGTAAAATTTTACTCAGTATAAAAGTAAAATTTTACTCTGGTTCTGTCAAATGAAAAAAACAAAGCAATAGAACCAGAGTAAAATTTTACTCTGGTTCTATCAAATGAAATTAGATCATTCACAGCCACTGTTATTTTGTTTCTTCACAGTTACTTGCCTCTTTCGTATCACCTCTTTGGCTTCTCTGTTATCTATTACATATACACAATCCATATTGCTCACTCACAACACAAAAATTTATCAAAATCAAAAATAATTTTACAACAAAAAGTTGAGAGAACATAGTAACAACTCATCAATAGATCAATTTAAGAACTTAACAACACTATCCAAATGAAAAATCTCTCCCACACACACACACACACACACATATATATGAAAAATCTGAAGAACTGTGTTCAAATATGAAAATTTTGAACAGCCGCGCGATTCGTCTCTATACTCTTTCACAATTCGAATTTTTGATCGACGAGGCTATCATCAACGGCAAGAACATGAACTTCATGAGAATTGGAAGGCGATACATCGACGTCGTCGAAGCTTTCTCTGATCATCTCCGACAATCTCTTCCACTGCGAAACCTATGCGCCATTCAAAGAAAATTCTCTGCAACTGAGAGTGATTTAGGTATATTCACAGTTTTGGTTGAAATCACGAGAGCTTCGAACGAATCCAATTCAAATCCTAAGAATGGAAGAGAAAAGGAAAAAAGAGCGGAGAAGGTGAAGAAATTTAGTTGAGAGTATAATAGTCTAATAAAATATTTAAATAATAAATTTTGTTTTTTATGTAAAATTTTATAATTATGAAGAGATTTAAAAAATATAATTTTTTTCTTAGTCCTTTTAACAATAAAAGAGAGGTAAAGAGAGGTAAAGGAGGTTTATAGCTAAATTTTCCTAAAAAAAATACCTCTCTCACCACACACACTCTCTCTCTCTCTCTCTCTGTTTGTCTGTCTGATGATACATGTATGCTGTGTGTCTATGGCTCTCCATTCCAGTCTAATAAGGATCCATTGACGCCCTGGTGACGATCGAAACCTACAAAGCAACCAAACCCGCTTCGATTCGAAACCCTGGTTTAGTCCCTGCTCCATCTTCATCTCTCGTCTTCTACGTCCTTGCACAATCATAAGGTATGTTTTTGTCATATTAGGTTTTCATTTTCTGTACTAATATTTTGTGAAATTTTTCAGAATTAGACTTCAAATTTTCTGTACTAATGTTTTTGTCAATTAATTTTGTTAATTAATTGTTTTATTCCCCCCCCCCCCCCAACCTACTTTGAAAAAACCATTTTTTTCTTTTCTTCTATTTTTTTCCCAAAAAAACTATATTGCCTGGGTTGCCCTTCTAGGTTTTTGGCCCTGCGAGCCTCTCAAGGGTAAAGGTGTAGCTTTGTGTGTTTTTTTTTAAAAAAAAAAAAAAAACTTATAGTCCATAAGATCAATTGTGTTGGGGTTAGAAAATTTTAAATCTTTCTCCCCCCAATGTTTTATATATAGGTTGTATGTATGTGTGTATAATTTTTGATCGGCAAGAAATTAAAATCGTGATTAGAGAACATGACGAGGGAAAGTACATACAAAAATATCAGGAAGGAGAAGTAAAAAAGATCGGCCCAATGCCCGTTATTCGACTTGAAAAACATTGATTCCCATTTACAGGAAACTTTAATATAGTGCCCTATTGACAAAAGGTGATTTTTCATCATTTGACATAGGTTTCCATTTTTTTTTCCCCCCAGCTTTACCAATGACCATATTTAATATTTGGATAGATCTCCTTAAATTGCCTCTTGAATTCTTCAATTAAAAAAAAGAAAAGAAAAGAAAAAAGAAAGCGCGTAGTAACTGGCTTCTTAGTTATCCTTCTTTCAGAACGGGGCTCTTCAATCCCTTTGGAAGACAACACTTTACTGCTCCCCTCAATCAAACACCTATACCCAACATCCTCAATGCATAATTCTACAAAAGGCTCACTACCCTTCTTTTCATCACAATTAACTGAACATTGAAGCCTTTTATGTTCTCTATCATTTCTAGAGGATAATTTCATTCCTTCTGATTTCTTTTTCATACAATCATCACTCTTCTTTCCACCTTTTTGTCATTGAAAGCCAAATCATTCACCTTCCTAACCATTTGCTCAAACTAATCTTCGCCCAGATGACCACCTTCATTATTAGTAACGGTAAGCTTTTAAACTTTACAAATGCTCGTCTACCTTATTGTGAAATATAAAACCTTTGACATCAATATTGAATGATACTTCATTCAAATTGATGTTAATTGAATCTTGATTTTCCCCTATCCCATCCCCTATACAAGGCCCCATATCAAACCTCCGACTCACTACAAGAAAAAGCACATTCGGCAATCAAATTTCCCGACTAAAAAAAATTTGGTCGCTGAAAATATAACTTTCAGCTATCAAAACAGCTTTAGTAGCCAAAAGTAAAGCTTTTTGGCGACTAAACAATTTTAGTAGCCAAAAATCTACAATTGGCGACTAAAACTAAGTTTGCTCGCTGATTATACGGATTTTAGTGACTAAAATTTTTTTAGTAGTCCAAAGTAAAGCTTTTTAGCAACTAAAAAAATTTAGTAGCCAAAAGTCTGCAATTGGCGACTAAAAATAAGTTTGGTCGCTGATTATATGGGTTTTACCGATTAAAAAAATTTTAGTAGCCAGAAGTAAAGCTTTTCGATGACTAAAAAAATTTTAATAGCTAAAAGTCTACAATTGGCGACAAAAAAATAAGTTTAGTCACCAAAAGTGGTCATTTTTAGCGCGGGAGAACAAAAATCGTAAGGCGGGAATTAAATTTTGTAGCGACCAAAATTTTGGTAGCTGAAAGTGCATCTTCGGCGACCAAATCCGACTTTGGTCGGCAAAAGTTAAGTTTTTTAGCGACTAAAAAACAATTAGTAGCCAAAAGTATAGAATTGGCGACTAAAAAATATGTTTAGTTGCCAAAAGTGATCTTTTTTGTATTTTGCTACTAAATAGTTTATTTTACATAAATTATGTTCATTAAAATAATTATGTTTACACATATACTTTTATATTAATATGGATGTATGTACTATATAAATAATATATGTCACATATATAATCATATGGTGCTACAGAGGCGTAGTAGGATGAGTGTGGTGCATAAGGTTTATGGTGTGGGAGGTTGGCGGTTCAAGTCTCTGCAAGAGCGGATCAAATTGTTGTACAACGAATTATTATTTTTTTTTCACGTTTGAAGCTTTTGGCAACCAAAGGTGTTGGTCAGCAATTGGTTGCTTTTGGCGACTAAAGGTGTTGGTCGGCGATTCCTTGATTATTGGCAACTAAAACATTGGTCGGTAAATGTATAATTTTAAAGAAATATAATTGACTATTGGCAACCAAAATCTTGGTAGCTAAAGACTTGCTTTTTGCCGATCAAAAGTTTTTTGGTCGGCAAAACCCTCCAAGACCTTTCCCTATAGGGTTTTGGCGACTAAATTTTTTGATCGCAGAATGTCATTGGCGACCAAATTGCGACCAAAAATAGACAATTGACGACCAATATTTTAGTCGCTAAAAGTGTCTTTTTTTTGTAGTGACTCCTCTCCACTTCTTGCTAAGAAGATTTCTGTGTGATTACCCCGTCATCCTTATTGGGAGTCTATTGAACTCCACACTCACCTTCATCAAAAAAATTTCACTTATCTCTAGACCATCCCTCAAAACTACTTTTCCAACACCATTGCTAAATCTCTTTGAAGCAGCCCTTCGACATTATCCATTGACAACTCTACACCCACACTCCCCTTTTAAACACCACCATCCACTCCTTATGCTTACCACAAATGGAAACCTCCCCTCCTTATTTTCAGAGAAGTTGGATCGACAGTTGTCACTCATCCTAGTATTCCCTAACTCCCTCTCCTTTGCCTTTGAGCACCTACCATATATTTGAAAATGCCTCAGATTTTCTACTCCCTTTGAAATTTGAGAGAATAATTTTAGGGTTTTAATAAATATTTTCAATTGGATAATAATTTGGCGCAAGTATAATTTATAACTTGCTTGTACTACAAAATGTGGAGCTCTTCTACCTAGATTGATATGTGTGTTATGTACTATGAAGCACGGATACTTCAAATAGGGTGACGTATCCGTATCGTATCCGTATCGGATATCGATACTCCTTGGATACTCACGGATACATATCGGATACCTATTAAAAGTATCGGATACTTCTTAATTATTTTTTTATTAATTTTGGAGTATCGGATACTTAATTTTGAAGTATCGGATACTTCAAGTCATGTTTACTTGTTTTAAGAAATTAGAATTGTAACATTTCTTGCATAGTAATATAATATAATATAATTGCAAGTATAAATATAAAAATATTTTTTTAATACTTTGTTAAGTTCTTCAATAAGAAGAGTATAGTGAGTTAAATAATAGAATTTATCAAATTGATGTATCCTAATTATTTCATGCATGTTCCCTATAACTACATAGAAAGTAAGAATTAACAAGAGAATATAACAATGGTAAAATTAATTATCAATAAATAAATAAGTAAACTTAAATATAATATTTTTCACTAGTGTCAAAGGAAAAAGTACAGGGACAAATTGTGAATTGTTCTATTATTATAATATAAATATATTAAACTTGATCTTGAAATGAAATATTTGCAAAACCTATTAAAAATTTAAGAAGTAAACAAGCTACTAGCTTAAATTAATACAAAATTCTTAAAAGTTAATATTTTGCATTATAAAATTACATTATGATTTCTCAACGTTATTTAGTTTATGTGTAACTCACTATTAATAATTTTAAAAAATATATTTTTCACAAACGTATCCTAGCCGTACCGGTATCCTATTTTTTTAGGTTTTGTCGTATCGCCGTATCCGTATCGTGTCGTATCCATATCTCGTATCCGTATCTATGCTTCCTAGGTTATGTAGCTAGTAATCAATTTAGGAAAATTTTCTCTCTTTGGTATAAAACAAATGAAGTTTATGGCTTGATGAACAATTTAAGAACATTATTAGTAGGGCTATGCAAAATACTATCCAAAACGTTCAAACCGTCAAAACCATCCGAATTGCACCAAACCGCGTCAAACCATGCATTTATGAGGTCGGGGGAGGGGGGGGATGCGTGTGCGTGTTGGTGGTCTACCCAGGCGGTGCGGCGTAGCTGGCGGTTTGGAAAACATAACCTGCGCATTAAACCAACCGCCCGCCCATGTTATGTAAATTTTCAAACCAAGTATAGCTTAATAAAATTCACACACCCAATCCTTTATCAATTGAACCTAATAATACACTCACTGATTCGCTCTTATCATATTAGAATCAGATTCGTAGAGAAGAAAGAAGCAGCCCCTCTCGCCCCCCTCTTCCCCTCTTGCCGCCGCCACCTTACCTCTCGCCGCCGATTGCCATTGCCTTAGTACTCTCTCTCTCTCTCTCTCTCTTAAATCTTTGAGTATTATATATTTTATTTGCTCTCACTCTTCATATTTTTGTTTCATCTTCGTATCAATGTCATCTTCTTTTTTTGAAATTTTTTTTCAACCCTTTTATGGGAAACCCTTGTTTTGAACCTTTTTTTCAACATTTTTATGGGATTTTGCACAGTTTTTAAGCATCTCTACTTTGATTTGATCCAATCCTTTTTATTTACCTACAAAAAAAGAGAAGAAAAGAATGAACAAGGCAAATTTAATAGATTGTTTGGAACAAATTTATATTCTTCAAGTTTGTAACGCCCCAAAATATAACCGTAGATTCAACCGAAATATAAATAAATAACTACATGAATTAGAGTGTAACGTTCTTTCATTTCATAGAGTTAATAGTACAAAAGAATTTAACATAAATAAATGCCCTATAGGCTTACACCTTTCCAAGCTTTGGCTTGGTTACAATAAAAATGAGACTAGCTCATACAATTTAAGTCCTAGGCTATACAAAAAATGAAATAAAACAAAGAAGCTCTTGCTCTCCAAAAGTCCCTCTAATGCTATTGCCTTGGTGGAGGCATGCCATCGTCACCTGAAAATGTTTTTCTCAAATAGGGTGAGCCATAGCCCAGCAGGAACAGGAATAATCTAACACAATATATGAGATTTAACAAAGATATGAGTGCAAGGTGTATATACAATGCCAGGGGTAAAACATTCAGATTTTATATAGTCATAGAATACCAATTCTATACTTCTTTTCATTTTCCTTCAACTCATTTTGATACACAAGCCAATTTCATTATTCCTTCGATAATCCAAATGAGACTACAACTCAATGGTTCTACAATCACGCCATTAACACACAAACACTTCAAATTGCTATTTTACTGAAATTTCGTCCGCGGGATCGACACCCATGTATAAATCTTGGGACTTTCACCCAGGACACTCCGGCTAGCTTAATTGTAATAAAGTCCATCTCCTTTCTCCTCTCAAACAGTGGAGTCTATCTCCTTTCTCCTTCCAAATAATCATACATATACAATGTATTTAAACACAGAGTCATACATGGAGTACATCCCCTTTCTCCTCCTAAACAATCATACATATACAACATATTTACAACATGATCATCTTCAATGATAACCAACCATGGATTAGTTTTAATTCACCTAATGCTCATGCAATTTCTACAACAATTATAGCTATCTTCCACCGATAGCTCAATACAGTTATTTCGAAATAGATATACAATATGAAGACGTATAACTTATTCAAAATTTCCAAAGATGAGGCGTATCATCCACTCAAATCCACTATTTATTTCAAAACTCGTTCAATTTCATGTTCACAACATCAATTTCATGTTCATAATATCAATTTCATTTACTTATATAAAATAAATATTATGATCATTTTAGGGCAAACCCCCTCTTTTCTCAATTATCAACCAAGTAGCAAAATCAACTATTTTGATTCCATACAACATCATTTTCAAACCCCACAATCATTTATCCCTCATTCATCAAAACCCCTCTTTCCATTTTACACTCAAACCCTAGGTTTGTTCACATTATCCCCAAATCCCACCATTGTTACACAATGACAAATAACTAAGCTAAAAATCATATTAAAGTGTAGAAAATTCTTATCTCAAGTTTAGAAGGTCAATGGAGCAAGGACGAAACTTCAACGACGCCGAGACCACATTCCAATCGGATCAAAATGAAGCTCTTGGAATACTCTAACTTTTTCTCAAAGACACTAGGATAGAAAACCCAAAGGATCTAGGCCAAAATGTAGAGAGAGAGGGTATTTTGGAGAGAGAGTCAAGATCTAAGTTTTTGAAAAGTTTTAGAGAGAGAAGAATGAAAAGTGATATAAAATATTACTTTCGTGATCTGATATATTCACAGTCCGCTTGAGAGGAAGAGTTGATGCTCGAGCGTCAAACACAAAAAGGCCGCTCGAGCGCCAAGACTCAACGAATGCTCACCGCGCGAGCGCAAGAATTCACCGCTCGAGCGTAGAAAACACACATCCAGAAGTTTTGCAGACAACAAACTAATGCTCGAGTGTAAGAAACGCCGCTCGAGCGTAGAAAACACTCTCTTAGTAGTTTTGCAGACCTGCAAAGTACTGAGAGTTTGCAAAGTCCGCTTGAGTGCGAGAAATGCCGCTCGAGCGGAGGAGCAAAGATTGCAAAGCTTGCTCGAGCGAAGAACCAAAAATCTAGACAACAAAGGTTTGGAAAAACAAGTAACTAATTTGTTCCAAACGCACAATTACAATCCAATAACCAAAACAGAGGGAAGACAAGGGAAACAAGATATGAATCTCTATTCAAAACCATACAAACCCGAGTTCGGAATACTACAGGTGACGGGTCAAAACTGGAATCGCTATAAAGTTATCAATTATATATTTGATTTCCTTTTTGTTGTTTGTACTTTGATTTATGTACTTCCCAATCTATGAATAGTTATGTCTAAAATTGTATCATGTGTCTTCCATTTGACACTGATTTTTTTTTTTTTTTACTTAATTGTAAATTTGTATTTTGTAATAGATAACGGATGAGGGGAATACAAGTGATGAGTGCTTTGGATTGTAATTGTGTAATTTATTTGGATTGTTGAGCTTCTAGTTTGCTAGTTTGTCTGTGTTGAATATTTTAATTGACTATTTTAGCTAATTTATAAATCAGTTTTTTTTTTTCATTCAGATTTTATAATTTGAATTATGTTCTTTCTAATCCGCCAATCTGCCTGAACCACCAAGTCGAAACCGCCATTATTTGCCAACTACTCTATCGGTTCCTAATGGCAAAATGGTGGTTCCTAATGGCAAATTTGCCAATCCGCCACCCGCTACACGGTTTTCTTTTATTCTCAAACTGCACCGAAATGTACCGCGCACACCCCTAACTATTAATGAAGCCAATGGTAATTTTTAGATGTTTTTTTTTTTTTGGTTCCATTTTTATTGATTTTATTTAATGTGATTATGAAAGGTTGTGGTTTGGTTCAAGTATTTTTTTTTTTTTTTGGATAAATAAGCAAATTTATTAGAAAAGCACCAAGATGATGCAAATAATACAAAATTCAAACCCCCAAGGAAAAAATGCTAAGCTATCAAATCCTCCACAAAATCTACATAAGCCAAAACATTTAGATCAACCAACCTTGTAACCCAATTATATAACACCATAAACGGCCGCCTCTCCAGCCAAGAAATCGAATGAGACACCCCTTGGAATACACGCTTATTACGCTTCAACTAAATAAACCACATTAAACAGTGAGAAGCAATCATCTACGCTTTTCAATGTTTCCTCCCAACCCTACCCCCAGTCCAACTCTGCAAGACTGCCAATACCAAACTTGGTTGCATCCAAACTAAACCAAATCAAAAGTCGCCACAATAAGCATCCAAAGCCGAGATGTAACTGGGTAATGAACGAGCAAATGGTCCATCGACTCAGCATCACCACAACACAAACAACACCAATGCACCGGTATATACCCACGGCGAATCAAATTATCAATCGTCAGAATGTGTCCTAAGGTCGCCATCCACACAAAGAAAGCTACCTTGAATGGCGTGCCCGGCACCCATACACATTTTCAGGGAAACAAAATTGCATCAACATGAACAAACGCACCATAGTACGAAGACACAGAAAAAAGCCCCTTAGGGCCTAGATAGACCTAAACCATAGAATCCTCCCCTGCACCCCCAACTTGCAACCCGTATAAGAAACCGAACGGTTTTACTAACTGATCCGCCTCTCAATCCTAAACCTCATGACGCCACTGCCGCACATTCCAAACCACTGCCTGTCCTTGCCCCGTTCGAACCGCCCCCATCATAACATCAGAATCTTCTGCAATCCCAAAAATCAAATGGAACAGTTGCTCTAAAAAAGTATCCCCACACCACCTATTATGCCAGAAACGGACTCTATCTCCCAACCCTACCTTCTGCTGAATCTTCTGTTAAAACTCTTCCCAGCCCAACCAAATTCCTTTCCAGACACCACAACCATGAGGCTTACCCAAACACCACCCCTCTCTTCCCAGACCAAACCTTAGTTGCACGAAGCGGGAGCGGGGAAACATGACCACTTAGAGGAGTCATAGATTAGGAGCGCTTATGCATTTTTTCATTAATTATATTTTATTTATTATAAGGAATAATAAGTTATGTTAAAATAAATAATAAATAAAAATTAGATGTTTTATTTTATAAATTTTTTAAGATTTTTTTATTATATATGATTTAAATAGTTTTCTTTTAATTATTAATGGAAAATGCGTGGTAGCTCGAGAGTGGGTTGGCTCGAACGGCTCGACAGCCCAAAACGACGTCGTTTTGGGCTGTTTTTTTTTTTTCCTTCTTCTTCTTCGTCGTGCTGGTCTGAAACCAGAGGGAGAGGAGAGGGAGGGGGAGATAGACAAATATGAAAAGAGAGAGGGAGAGCGAGAGAGAGAGAGAGAGAGAGAGAGAGAGAGAGAAGCAAACAGAGACGAAAAAAGAGAGAAACAAATAGAGACGAAGAGGAGATCGAGAGTGAGAGGAGAGAGAGAGACGAAGACCTAGGGCTTCGAAGAGAGGGACGAAGACTAGGGCTTCGAAGGGGAAGTCAAAGGGCAAGATCGAAGTCGTCGAACAGAGGATTGAAGCCAGCGAACAGGTTCTCTCCTTGCCCTCTCAAGAGTGCTTCCTTCTCACATCAGATTCGCATTTCCCTCTCCTCAGATTTGCAATTCTGCCACGATTCTTCCTCAGAAGTGCAAAATCACGCTTTTTCCTCAGAGTCATCACCATCTGAGACGATTCCTGCTACTAAGGACCAAACTTTGCCACAACCACCTTCCTCCATAAATGCTCTCTTTCCCCTACAAACAACCACTTGTCCAGTAATGCCAAATTAAACATAACAAACCGCCTAACTCCCAAACCCCCTTTCCCCCTTAGAACGACAAACACGATCCCACGCCACCAAATGAGAATGAGAACCCTCCCCCTCATCTCCCCATAAAAAATCCCACTACAATTTCTCAATCTGCTTTGCAACTGTCACCAGAATCACATGAACCGACATAAAATAATCGGGATACTTGACAAGACACTCTTGACCAAAGTAACCCTCCCTCCTTTAGATAAATATTGTCGCTTCCACCTTGCCAACTGCCGCTGCACACGCTCCACCACCTTGTCACATACCCCGAGGGCCTTGAAAGAAGCTCCCAAAGGTAGACCAAGACACAAAACTGGCAAAGAAGCCACGTTGCACCCCAAAATCACTGCCAAAACTGGAAGTTGAGCCACCTCACCTACTGGAATTAATTCAGACTTTGAGAGATTAACCGGAAGACCAGACACAGCCTCAAAACATAGTAACACACCATTGGCTCTTAGTCCTTAGATATTGAGAATCTAACAGCATGATATTTATAAGCACTCTCACATGAAATTGTTTTAACTGAGGGCGAGAATTGGCAACGCTAGACCAAATTTTTTTATTTTTGGGTGTTAATGATATGAGATTGAATTAAATTGTACCTTTTATTATCAGAATAATGGGAAACACCGACATCATGATTTGTGAAATCTGTTATTAGGAATATTTAATCTTCATTTATAGCAATGTATTGGATCTATGGAGGATACTATTGTCATTATTTACTTCCTAAAAATGTTTTACATCTCTAGAGACATTTTGCAGTAGTATTGATATTGATCAAAATGAGCATGTCTGTCTAAATCTTTCATAACCTATTCTTTTCTTTTGGTTACAGGGTTTGAACAGTGATTCTGCTGTTGACTTTTTCTACGATAGAACTCTCTGTTTACAGAATTACTTGTTGGTTTCTTTCTTTCACTCTCATTGTTCAAAGGGGCACATATATCGCTTATAAGGATGTCTGTAACAGCAGGTGTTAGTGATACTGTTATTGCCATTAGGGATAAACTTAGAGGAAAAATTGGCCAAACAAAAGTCAAAAGGTATTGGCCTGGTAAAGCTCCTGAATGGGCTGATGATGTCGATGAAGATGGGGATATTAGAATGACTAGGGTAGTTGCCCTGGAGAAAGCTTTCCCTAGTCAGGAAGATTCTGGCATTGTGAGGCGGGATGATCCTAGGCTGCGTCGTCTGGCTGAGAGCAGGATAGATAATCGCGAAGAAATTAGAGCTGACCATAGGCGCATTCGACAAGCTGAGATTGTTTCGACAATAGAAGAGGAAACCAAAAGACAAGAAGGATTAGATTTAGAGGAAGAGGATGAAAATGCTTTGGAGGAAAGGAGGAGGAGACTTAGGGAGAAGTTGCTTCAGAGGCAGCAGGAAGAAGCTGCCCTTCTTCCGGACGAAGAAGAGGATGAAGTAGAGGATGAGGAGGACGAGGAGTCTGAATACGAGACTGATTCAGAGGATGAATTAACGGGTCCAGCATTGGTGAAGCCTGTCTTTGTTCCAAAATCAGAAAGAGACACCATAGCTGAGCGTGAGAGGCTTGAGGCAGAAGAACAAGCTCTTGAGGAATTAGTTAAGAAGCGATTAGAAGAAAGAAGGGTGGAGACGAAGCAAATAGTGGTTGAGGAGATTCGGAAGGATGAAGAAATTCAGAAGAATTTGGATTTGGAGGCTAATGCTGCCGATGTAGATACTGATGATGAAGTCAATGAGGCAGAGGAATATGAGGCATGGAAGGCCAGAGAGATTGCAAGGATCAAGAGGGATAGGGAGGCCCGAGAGGCAATGTTGAAGGAGAAGGAAGAGATTGAAAAGGTGAGGAACATGACCGAGGAAGAGAGGAGGGAGTGGGAGAGGAAGAATCCGAAACCTGCACCCCAGTCCAAGCAGAAGTGGAGGTTCATGCAGAAATACTACCACAAGGGTGCTTTCTTTCAGTCAGATGCGGATGACCATGCTGCAACTGCCAGGTCAGATGATATATACAGCCGTGATTTCTCTGCTCCAACTGGAGAAGATAAGATGGACAAGACCATACTACCTAAAGTCATGCAGGTCAAACACTTTGGTCGTAGTGGGAGGACGAAATGGACCCATCTTGTTGGCGAGGATACAACTGATTGGAACAATCCGTAAGTGCAATTTTCATGTTACTACCTTTTTTTTCTTCTTCTTTTTCTCACTTAATTTAGCTGTTCTCTAATTATTTACTCTTTTTAAAAAAATATTCATCTACTGGCCTACTGATTAAGAGTAGTTTCGTGATTTGTTTATATATTGGTTGGTTCTATGATAGTTGATTTGGCTCTAGATGTTAGGACGGCCTCTTTGTTTTTTGGTTGGACCTTACCCCAAAAATTGTTCTAATAAGTTGTTTTGGGAATTGGTTTTTAAGTGGCTTTTTGACTTTTTAACGAAAAAAAAAGGTGCAAAAGGTAGAGAGGAGAGTTGAGTTCTTTGTAGTGGTTTTTTGGTTAAAATGTAGCATTCCCAAAATAGGTTTTCAGTTTGTCTAATTTTATGTAGGAGAGGACACTGATATGTAATACCAAAATCCACTGGCACCTTTAAAAAAATCACATAGCAGCACACATCTTGGAAATTTATGCATAATGGAGTGAATTATATAAATATGCATATAGTAAAATAAACAAAAATTGCATTGGATAAGGGTTCAAATCAAATCAATTCTGATTTGAAACAGCAGATCAACTTGGAATTGCAAGACTATCTATTCAGAGGGGGGGTTTGTTGTGATAATAATAATAAATTACATGACTAGAAATTGCTGTGTCAACTCATGAGATCAGATCAGATCATCTCACACAAAATGTCCTAAAAATGAGGAAATTGTTGTGTTGTTTGTTTCTACACAATTTTGGTATTAGAGACCTACTTTGATTCACCGTTTGGCTTGATCAGCGAGGTTGCCTTCTTGGTTGTTTTTATGTTTAGGGTATCCTGTTAAATTTTTGGTTTGTAGGATCATATTTATACGAACCGTTTTTCTTAATTATTCTTTGGTTGATTATACAGGTGGACATACAATGATCCTCTTCGGGCAAAGTACAATGCAAAAATGGCCGGAATGAATGCACCTATAGCAAAACCCAAAGGAAGCAAGAAGCTTAAGGATTGGGAGTCTCGGTGAAGCGGAAATGTTTCTTGGGAGTCCGTAACTTCTTTCTCTATGTTGTTTTTAATTGGATTCGCATTGCAACCTCTATAGGCTTTTACTTTGTTAGTGCTATTAATGTGTGAAAGTACTATTTTTGTCATTAATGTAGAACTTGTGTTACTATCATCATGTTCGCAGTTGGTACTTTTGAAAGATGAATATTAATATGAATGCCATATATGCAAGTCTAGAAAAAATGAAATGAACTGTTTCCAGGAATGCATGGCCTGAAGGCATGTTAAAAGAAAATATATATACACATATATATATATATATATAAAATATACATTTTAACATAAAAGAGATGATAAAAGTCACGCAGGAGCTAACCTATGGCCGTGAGATGAGTGGATTTTCCGGTGAGATGAGCTCCATACAATATTACCTGGACCTGACTACATCACCGCTTGATATTTGATAAAATAATACCAATATAAAAAGAAGTTAAATTTCAGAGTTTAATTGGCTTTACCAACTAGAGGGAATTGGACTCCTAATATTATAGTCATGTAATTTTTTTTGGACAATTTTTAATTGTGGAAGTGCATACCATATGTATTTACGTAAGTTATCATAAACATATGTAAGTTATCTTATAAGATTGCGTATGTTTTCACAAATGTAAGTTGATCTATAAAATTTTGAAAAATCACAATTTACGTATATTTGTGAGTATTTATGTAATTTTGTGAGGTAACTTGTATATATTTATAAGAATTTATACAAGTATAAATGGTATATACTTTATACACCTAAATACTGTTTATGTACTTATTGTTATTATTAATAAGAGCAATGAATGCAATGACTAAGGATGTAATAATTTTCTCCATATTATCATTAGACATGTCTTATTTTAAGATTCAAGCAATGACTATGGATGTAATAATTTTCTCCATATTATGATAAGACATGTTTTATTTTAAGATTCATCAATTGGAATCTTATTTCAATATAATTTTATTTTGGTAATGACATGTAGTATTTCTTTTCCATAAATATTTTAGTATTTTATATTTTTGTGAAAGAGAAAAGTATGCTACACAAATATTTTAGTATTATGATATTGTCATTTATCATTTAAATAATATTACATACTTAAATAAGTATTCAAAAAATAAAAGTATAAATTAGATTCATTTTGAGTATGGTTCATCTTACATTAATTTTGATCTATACTATACATCTTAAATTAGATTCATTTTGAGTATGGTTCATCTTACATTAATTTTGATCTATACTATACATCTTAATTTTTTCAATATTTTTTTAAATTAAAAATTTGGTACATGTATCAAGTTTTTTAATTATTTATATTTTACCAATGAAATATCATGGGATGAGATGAAGGGGACATTTGGGTAATTTCACTTCAATCCTTTAAGTCAATTGCAGAGTTCCAGGTTTGGGGAGTAAAAGAGCTGACAACAAAATTTTATTTATTTTTGTCTTTGTGTTGAATGAGAAGCAAAGAAGCATTCGAGATTCGAGAATAGAAGCTTAAATCTCATTTATATATTTGTTGTGTGTATTTATTAATCTATTCCTTTGTATTTTATATATTCGTTGTAACTCATTGTCTAGTTACTATTATTATATTGATGTTCTTTAATTTCATTCATATGTTGTGCTTGAGACAGACCTTTTATTTTTAGAAGTGGACTCCTAATCACATTTACAAATAGATCTGAGTTTCTCAGGCCGTAACTATTTTTTGAGGCTTTATATATATATATATATATATTTTTGATTTGTTTTCTTTTCATTGTACTTGTATTCTATTTTTATTTTAATATATTACATGATTTCTCGTTCTTAAAAAAAATAAAAATGAAATGACACGAAACGAAATGAATTGGCTGAGGTGTTGTTGGACTTTGTGGGCGTGGGTCCACTTTAATAATTTAAATTATTTATTATTAAACCATGTGTATAAATTATAAAAAAATAAATCAATCTGGTAAGCATAACTTATGATTTTATCATATTTTTTTTAAAAATAAATGACTTATTTTTAAAATTATTTTGTTTATTTTTTGCTGATAAATATTGTTAAAACATGCAGTTGTGATTGTTGTATTAATTTAATTTTTTTTATGATTGATCTGCACACATAGTCAAACTAAATGAATGATTCAAATCGTCGACGGCCCGTGATAGACCTCACAAAGCTGAACAACATAGTCCGTCATTGGAGATAAGTTTTTCCCTTGAAAGTTGATAATTGGAAAGCACAAGTTAAAATCATTTTTTTCATAAACTTTTAGATAATTAATTATTTTCAATTTATTTAAGGAGATTTACTGGTAGGTTTTAATAGGTGGACTTATTGTCCAATAATTTTTATGATAATTAATGACGTTTTTGATCAAATATTATTAAAAAAATATCACAACAAATGTCACTAATTATAAGTTTTAGCGACTGTTTAAAAAAATGATCACAAAAAAGTCACTGATTTTTAAAAAATTTGTCACTTAAAAACATCATTAATTATAAGTTTTAGTCACAATTTATAAAAAACGTGACAAAAAAAAATCACTAAATGCCAATTTTTAGTGACATGCAAAAATGTCACAAGAAAAAAATTAGCGATGATTTTATTAGAAATTATTTTTAATAAAATTTGATAGGAATTAAATTTAACTATTAAGAATTACTAATAATAAATCTTTTATTTTTAAATTATAAACGGTAAATAAAAATTGTACGTATTGAACAGTGTAACATAAATTCTTAAAAAAAAACTATAAATTAAAATGCACCCACATGGAGATGAGAAAATTGTAGGAGGGATGAAGGGTTTGCATGGGACCCAACATACTTGAAAATATACAACAAACAGAAGAGAAGCCTCCCTTCCCCAATAAGTTTGAAATTTCAACAAACAAACAACTCTTTGAGGATTGAGGCTTGACCTTCCTTGGGTTCATCCATCACCCTCAAACTCCACACCCTCCTCCTACATTTGCTCATTATTATTTTAATCATTTTGAATTAGTTGAGGAAAACAGTATGCTACTTTCATTTTTATTTACTATTAATTTTATGCCACTAATATATGATATACCTTCGGGACTTGGAATTGGTGGGCCATGTAAACCCATGACATGTACCTACAAAGCAATGTTCAACCTTATTAACTTGTTTGGTAATTAATATATATATATACACACATATAGATATAGATATGCATGCATGTATTGGAGGGAAATGAAAAGAAGCAAATAATTCATCACAAGAGATTGAGTTATTATATAAGTGAAGTGGTTTGAAATGTTTTAAATAAGTGTATTTTTTAATTTTTTATAAAAAAAATAGAGCGAAAATGTTGATTGATGTGATCCAAAAAAGATAAAAAATGTATACTTATTTTGGAATGTCAAACCACCCTGAGTTATTATTATTTGACATTTTATATGTATAACACTAACCACATTATTTGTTTAACTCTATTACAATGTCACATCATATCGTATAATACGTTTAAATATCAAAAACTAGTTGTCACGTTGTTATCATTAATGACAATGTATATTTTTAGTAAATATTTGAAAGACTTATGTAGAGGTCTTAATAGGTAGACTTATTGTCCAATAGGTCCTGTGAGAAGTAATGTCATTTTTCATCAAATACTATTTAAAAATGTCACTAATTGTTAATTTTTAGTAACATTTTGAAAATTGTCACAAAAAATGTTACTAAATTATAAGTTTTAGCGACAGTTTAAAAAAATCGTTACAAAAAAGTTACGAATTTTTAATTTTCAGCAATAGTTTAAAAAATTAGTCACAGAAAAAGTCCACTAATTGTAAATTTTAGAGACAATTTATAAAAATCGTGACAAAAAAAATACTAATTGTCAATTTTTAATGATATATGTAAAAAATGTCGCAAAAGATTATTTTTAATAATAATTTTTTATTAAGACTTATTTTTAATAGAACTTGATGAGAATTAATTCAATTATTAAAATCTATTGACAGTTTAATATTCCACATCAACAAACCTGTGAACTCCTGTTCCAAAATTGAATCACTTCAAGAAAACAAGAGCCATAAACAAATTGCTGGGAAATGAACATTTTAAGGATTTCATTACACATAAAATATCTCTTGCTAGAGAAATTTGTATCACCACCACCAATTTTAAATATATAAATACGAACCTAGGAAATATGCAAAAAAAAAAAAAAAAAATCAAGAACACACTATCATCACACATCAAATAGTGGTGTCCGTCTCACACACGATTTTAAGATTTGTCGGTTTCTTATTTTGTCTCAAAAAGATTTTGTTTTTTACTATTTTGTTTTTTAATCTATTTGCTATTTCTCACGTGACATTTTTATCACATAATCATAACGACGGTTGAAGATTAAATAGAAGTGGCAAACATTGAATTATAACGGACAAAGTGAGAATATTTTTTGTTTTTATATGCTAAAAGATAAACAGATTGTATTTTACGAAAATGAAAATATATTTTACTTTAAAAATGCGCACGTGCCATTTTTCGAACCGCAATTAATTAGTTTTTGGAGAATTTTGCCAAAATAAAGTATTGCAGGGATATATTTTTTGAGTACCAACACACGGCAAGACGATGCCGACGTGTCAGCAGAGGTGTCACGTGTCCTGATAGTGATGCCGAGGTTTTCTCGGCGAGGCCGAAATTTTCTCCGAAGATATCGGAATCCGAGATAATAGGATAAACGGATAAAGGACAGGAGTCCTAGAATAAAGAGGAGATTTAGCCAAAATAAGGATAAAACTCTTAGAGAGTTTATCTTTATCTCTTGAGGAGTCCAAAGTAAGTACTGAATTGGAGTCCATAGAAGTCAGGCTTTTTGTGGGACTAGGATTAAGTAAACTATAAAAGAGAGGCACTCCCGTGGGTCTAAGGTACGCAATTTTATACTTTGAGCTGTAAGTTTAGCACTTGATTATCTTTGAGAGATATACTAACTTGATCGTCGGAGTGCCCCCAGGTGGAAGAGCCACCGCCGGAGCCTTTTCTTTCTGTTGCAGGATAACTGAAGCCATTTATTCTGCCAGTGCTCTCTAGCTGATTACTAAACGGGCAGTGTGGTCAGAAAATTACTCACCCAATTTGGCGCCGTTTGT